TTTGGGGGAGCAGTGGAAAGAACACGTGGGTTCAGTGTTTGCCACTTGCTGGCTGTGTGCTCATGAAAGGCTCCTCCGTAAGTGGCAGAGGTGGGGGTTCGAGGAGACTGGCACTGAGCCCCACACGCGGTGGGACTGGTGACTCTCCGCACGCTCCTGCTCTGTAGCAATTGCCATCCCTCCCACCATGGCTCCTGGTGGCCTTGGGATGGGTTCCCGAGGGTCTCCTGCTGTCCAGCCCCAACTCCTGTTCCCAGTGCCCCCCCCCCCCCCCGAGGCCTGTGTCTCTACTTGAGGCTGACGTGGGTTGGCCTGGAGGCCCTGCCCCATTACTCTGGGTGCATAATGTATGCCTTTTCCTTCATACCTGTTTCTGGGAAAGAAAAAAATGCTCCATTTTATTACTGCTCCATATTAGAAGACAGGGAGTGTGGAAAGAACAATCAGGTTGTCCGTTCAGTTTCTTAGTTGTAGTGAAGCGATGCGTGTGTCTGACAGACGCTGGCGGGCAGCCGTGCTGGAAAAGGAGCAGCATGACTTAGGGGTTCTCTCAGTTTGGTTCTAAAGTCATCGCTGTGCCTGAACCTCAGGGTGACCGACTGGTGACTCTCCGCACGCCTGCTCTGTAGCACTGCCATCCCACCATGCTCCGGGTGGCCTTGGGATGGGTTCCCGAGGGTCTCCTGCTGTCCAGCCCCAACTCCTGTTCCCAGTGCCCTCGCCGAGGCCTGGGGTCTCTACTTGAGGCTGACGTGGGTTGGCCTGGAGGCCCTGCCCCATTACTCTGGGTGCATAATGTATGCCTTTTCCTTCATGGCCTGTTTCTGGGAAAGAAAAAATGCTCCATTTTATTACTGCTCCATATTAGAAGATAGGAGTGTGGAAAGAACAATCAGGTTGTCCGCTCAGTTTCTAGTTGTAGTGAAGCGATGCGTGTGTCTGACAGACGCTAAGGGCAGCCGTGCTGGAAAAGGAGCAGCATGACTAGGGGTTCTCTCTGGTTCTAAAGTCATCGCTGTGCCTGAACCTCAGGGTGACCCGGGTCGCTGTGGCCCTCGGCCGGGGCTTCTCCGACTCAGGGTGACTCCGCTGTGACCCTGGCCGGGGCTTCTCCCGACCTCAGGTGACCTGCTGCTGTCCCTGGCCGGGGGCTTCTCCTGACCTCAGGGTGACCCGCTGTGTCCCTGGTCTCGGGCTACTCTGACCTCAGGGTGACCCACGGTGTCCCTGGTCAGGTGCTTCTCTGACCTCAGGGTGACCTGCTATGTCCCTGGCCAGGGGCTTCTCCGAGCAGAGCTGCTGTGTGCTCACTGTGCTGCCTTTGTTTTAGGATGCAGCAGTCTCAGCCCTGGCCACTCTCTGCAGTGAATATTACATGAAGGAGCCGGGGGAGGCAGATCCCGCAATTCAGGGTGAGTGGGGGCCCTTTCCTTGAAGGCTGCAGGGGCTTCCAACAGGAAGCTGCTCGGGGAGTGTCTGGGCACGGAGGAGGCCTCAGCTGTGCAGGGGAGCAGAGCCACCACCATCACGGCTGGAGCGGGACTGTTCGGGTCTCAGGTTCCCGGCTGAGGACCTCTGGGCAGGTCCCACAGCCGCCCAGGGTGTTGCCCTCTGTTGACGGCACCCTGGCAGCTGGTCCTGGAGCACAGTGTTCCTCACACTTTCAGTTGTGTTTTCTTACATTTATTTATTTAATTTTTTCAGACAGTCTGGTTCCGTCACCCAGGCTGGAGTGGCGTGGCATGATTCGGCTCACTGCAGTCCCCGCCTCCTGGGTTCAAGCAATTCTCCTGCCTCAGCCTCCCGAGTAGCTGGGATTACAGGTGCCCGCCATCACACCCGGCTAATTTTTTGTATTTTTAGTAGAGACAGGGGTTTCTCCATGTTGGTCAGGCTGGAATCGAACTCCTGACCTCAGCTGATCCACCCGCCTCAGCCTCCCAAAGTTCTGGGATTACAGGTGTGAGCCTCTGTGCCCGGCCAGTGTTTTTAGAATTTTTGTGCACACCGTGACATTTTTCTGGTGTGTGTTCTTCACTTGTTAATATATTTTGCTGTTTTTTCCTTTTTTGTGAAAGTAGCATAAGGCTGGCTTTACTGTGTCCCGTGTGTGGCCGCCCCGCCGCCTCACTGTACATCCTGCGCCCCCTGTCCTGTGCGTGGCCGCCTCACTGTACGTCCTGCACCCCCACGCTGAAGTTCAGGCTCATTTATCGCACATCATGTATCTGTTTGAAGGATCTGCTTCCTGAATCGTACTTTTTATTTTTAAAGTGTCACATGCACGTATGTTGGCCCACAGTGTTCCTCTATGTCATATGATAGAACATGTATTAATCACATCAAAAGTGTGTGAATCATCACTTAAAATTATTATAAGTATATAAAAATCATGCATTAGCTTGGCATGGTGGCACACGCCTGTAACCCCAGCTACTTGGGAGGCTGAGTGTGAGTTTGAGGCTGCAGTGAGCTAAGATTGCACCACTGCACTCTAGCCTGGGTGACAGAATGAGACTCTTGTCTCAAAAAAAAAAAAAAAAATTCTCTTTTTGATTCCTATTTTGAGGTAGGCCACTTTGGAAATGTGTCTGCTTTGGGAACCTTTGTTGACCGTGGCTTTGCTCCTGTTTTGGGGCACACGTCGGGTGTGACTGTACACGATGGGCAGCAGAGGCCTCTCTTCACACTCGTCACTTCCTTTCAGAGAAGCTGATCACGCAGTACCTGGCCGAGCTTCGGAGTCCCGAGGAAATGACTCGCTGTGGCTTCTCGTTGGCCTTGGGCGCTCTTCCAGGCTTCCTTCTGAAAGGCCGGCTCCAGCAGGTGAGACTCTGGCTACGCACAGCGGACGGGGCCTGGGGCGAGGGTGTGGGAGCAGCGGACGGGGCCTGGGGCGAGGGTGTGGGAGCCTTGTGTGTTGGGGCATGAGGTAGGCCCAGCCATTAGTAAATCCACTCAGTGATTGCAGCTGGGAGGGGATTCCTGGAAATCGGCACTTGTGGCCAGGAGAAAGGGGGCAGAGGGCACCCAAGGTCTGTGGCCCCTCAGGGCCCTGGCGAACCCTTTCCTGTCAGAGGACAGACTTTGAAAAGCTGAATTCTGGGAGGGAGGAGGTGTTTGTAGAAGCAGCTGCTGAGAGTGAGGAGAACACAGTTGTCTTTGTGCGTTTGTGGAGCCGGGTCCTGTTCTGGCTGTAGCCGCGCGTCCAGGCCGGGGCAGAGGCAGCTCCACGTCCTCCCACAGGTCAGCCCCACGCTGGCCTCGGCAACCTGCTCTCTCACGCAGTTGAAACACAGATAACTGTGAAACAGGATCACTTGGAGACATGACAGATGAGGCTGTTGAGACCCAGCTGCTTCCTTTGTCCCATACCCCAGGTGTCAGCATAGGACAAAAGGGGGACCTCAGGTAGGGTGCGACCAGACTGCCAGTGACGCCCTGGGGTGGGGGCTGACTGTGGAGAGGCTGGAGGTGACCCCTCTCTGGGTGTCCTTCCTGGGCTCCACCGGGGGCCATGGGTGGCCCCTGGAGGAAGGTGGTGCCAGGAGCTGCCTGTCACATGGTGCGGGGTCTGTGGCTCCGGGCCGACATCACCACCTCCCTAGAGTGCACTTCGTTATAGCTTATGGTTCTTCCATGATTCTTTATTGCTTTCCAGGTTCTCGCAGGTTTAAGAGCAGTTACCCACACTTCTCCCGAGGACGTAAATTTCCCTGAGTCGAGGAGAGATGGCTTGAAGGCCATTGCTAGGTGAGTCCCAGCAGTTCCTCCCTAAAGTCGTAAGTCTCTGAAAGGCTAAGAAATGAACGCTAAGGAGGATGTTTTTGCTCAGAGGCAGGATTTATGATTCTTCACTTCCTGGGTTTCCTCTCTTCCAGAGGATTGCCAGTCCCAGGTCCTGGAGGCTCGTTCAGTCTCTTGCTGTCATAGTCATAGTGAATGTTAAACATCTTTAGCAACACTGGGCCCCTTTGAGAATTGGGGAACGTGTCCTGGCCCAAGGTTGGCAAAGAGGAGGTGACCCTGCCAGCCAGTGTTTAGAATGATCTCCACCCTCGTTGACAGACACGCACCTGGGGCCATGCCATACGCCCTCTCCTCCCTGCAGGCATACAAGAGCAGCAGCCCCATGGGGGTCATGCACGCCCCCTTCTTTCCTATGCCAGCATCCGTCCCCTCTAGTCAGGGTGGGAAGTGGGAGGGACCAGCCGTAGGGGGTGTCCCCGTCCACCTTTCAACAAGAGAGACGGCAGAGCGTGACCTCGGGGAAGCACGTCCCACGTTCCGTAGGTGTGGAAGGAGCTCTGGATTTCTGGTGTACCCGAGGGTCCTGGACTGTTCTGAGTGTGTCTTCTCAGGATCGGGAACACACATCAGACTCTGTGGCGTGGAAGGCGAGGCTCACAGATGTTTGTTAGCTCAGACGTTTTAAATTTTTAGGATTTGCCAGACTGTTGGTGTGAAACCAGGAGCCCCAGACGAAGCTGTGTGCAGAGAGAACGTTTCCCAGATTTACTCCACGCTGCTGGGCTGCATGAACGACTACACCACGGACAGCAGAGGGGACGTGGGCGGCTGGTACGTGCGCAGCCAGGGGACGTGGGCGGCTGCAGGGACATTAAATTACACCACTGCTGCTAGGCAGACGTAGATTCTTTTCAGATTACAGCAGCAGAGATGAAATACAGCAGTGCACGATCGCAGCAAGACAGACAGTGGCAGCTCGGCAGTGCAGCCATGGGTCTGCGACAGCAGAGGCACAGCCAAGTGCAGCCAGGGGCGTGGGCGGCTGGTACGTGCGCAGCGGGGACGTGGGCGCTGATGCGTGTGCAGCGGGGGCGATGGGCGGCTGAATGGCGGCTGGTACGTGCGCAGCCGGGGGACGTGGGCGGCTGGTACGTGTGCAGCAGGGGGACGTGGGCGGCTGGTACGTGTGCAGCAGGGGGACGTGGGCGGCTGGTACGTGCGCAGCCGGGGGGGACGTGGGTGGCTGGTACGTGCGCAGCAGGAGGGGACGTGGGCGGCTGGTAAGTGCGCAGCCGGGGGACGTGGGCGGCTGGTAAGTGCGCAGCAGGGGGGGGACGTGGGCGGCTGGTACGTACGCAGCAGGTGGGGAGCACTTCCTCGGAGAAGCCCGTCTGTTCCATGGAAACTCGGAGGTCCTGGGCTTTTCTGCAGGGAGAAATCTTCGTAGAGTGCCGTATTTTGCGTTTTAAAGGCTCTTGGGAAGACGACCTGTTCTCTGCTCCCGGGTGAGCCTGCGTAGCGGGGCTTTGCAGGTCCTTGTCCAGCCTGTCCTCAGGTGTTGGGCCTGCGTCATCCTCATTGACTGGGTGTGAGGGAGGACGCGTCTTCAGTGAAAGGCTGGCGGCTGCTTACATTGGGTTTTGCCAGCATTTCTCGCTGAAGTGGGAGTGATAATCCCTGAAACTCCTGTGTGTGCAGGATGCCTCGGGGCCCCCGTATATGCGGCTGTGGGTCTCCCTTCCCTGCACACGTTCCTGTAGCACGCAGGGAACCTCTGCAGACCCTGTGACTTTTCTCCCTGGCAGTGTGCCTGGGCTCTGTGTGGGGTTAGTCACTGGTGTTGAATTGGCACAGCCTGCCAGCGTGGTTGTAGAACCGGGGTTGGGAACTCCCTCTCAAGCTGGGTGTCTCTGCCTCTCCTTGTCCCATCAGGGTCCGCAAGGCCGCCATGACCGGTCTGATGGATGTGACACTTCTGCTGGCTCGGAGCCAGCCTGAGCTGATCGAGGCCCACATGTGAGTGTCACGTCGCAGCTCTTCTGCATCCTAGAGGGCATCCCCAAGCTTGGGGAGGCTGGTGGGGCGGGCAGTCCTGGTGCTCAGTGGCATGTGCATTGCTGGGCACACATCTTCCTCCCAGAGAGTCTCTCTGGTCTGTGACCTCAGGTTTGTGCAGGCCCCTCCTCCTGCCCCTGTAGCCATGGCTTGAGCTGGGGCCCCTCCTTCTCTGCCCAGTGCCCCCAGGACAAGGCTCTGCTCCCCAGCCTGGGCCTCCCCCAGTGCTCTGGCCAGTTTGATGACAACCAGCATCCCAGGTTAGGGCTGGGCTGGAGGTGGGGACTGCTCAGCTTAGGACCCTGAACCTGGGGGTCTGATCCTGCCAGGACCAGCTGAGCCATCACTCAGTTCCCTGCACCTGAGGCTGCCATTGGAGCCTGCCCTTGCTGTGGGTCTCTGTCGGGGGTACTGGGTTGTGGGGACCCCCAGGCCCTGCACTTGCTGTCGGTCTCTCTGTCAGGGGAACTGAGTCATGGGGGTCCCAGGCCCTGCCCTTGTGGGTCTCTGTCAGGGGCACTCGGTTGTGGGGATCCCGGAGCCTGATTTCCTTCGTTCTCACCTCTTTCTCCTTCCCTCCCCCGATCTCTTCGCCAGCCCCAGCTTCTCTGTCCCCATCCCTGGCCTCTCTGTCCCCCACACTCCTCTCTACCTGCTTCTGTAATCATATTTGTTGTCCCTGCTTCAACCCTAAGAACTCATTGGCATGTGTGTCACATGTACGTAGTGTGTATTTGCTGTGCACCTATAGGGTCGGGCTTCTGGGATGTGAAGGTAACGGGGTGTGGTCCTTCCAAGCCGGTGTCCTGGTGTCAGCTGCCAACTCAGCCACCAAGTCCTGAGGAGCCCATGTGTCCTCGTGGTGCTTGGGCTGGACTCATGGCTCAGACTGCCTGCGCTCGGTTGACCGCCCGCGCTCGGTTGACCGGCCGCCCTTGGTTTACTGCCCGCCCTTGGTTTACTGCCCGCGCTTGGTTGACCGCCCGCCCTCGGTTTACCTCCTGCTCTTGGTTTGCAGCTGTGAGCGCGTCATGTGCTGTGTGGCCCAGCAGGCCAGTGAGAAAATTGACCGTTTCCGTGCTCACGCCATCAGCGTGTTCCTGACGCTCCTGCACTTTGACAGCCCTCCCATCCCCCACGTGCCCCACCGAGGAGAATTGGAAAAGCTGTTTCCCAGGTACTGTCAGGGCGTACGCCCCACGCGCTGGCTCCCAGGAACTGTCGGGGTGTAGGCCGCCCACACTGGCCCCGCAGCCGTGGCAAGATCATGGGCTGCCCGGCCTCCTCCCACTCTCTCTTGCAGGTGCGACGTGGCCTCCGTGAATTGGAATGCACCTTCCCAGGCCTTCCCACGCATCACCCAGCTCCTTGGGCTGCTCACCTACCGCTACCCCGTCCTACTGGGGCTTGTCGTGTCCCTGGGTGGCTTGACGGAGTCGACGGTGAGGAGGCATCGGGCTGGCGGGGGTGGGAGGTGGTGGCTCCAGGGGCACTTGGCGCTTGCTTGCTTCTTGGGAGTGTGTGTGGAGCTGGGCCTTTTCTTCCAGTGCTCTCTCTCTCTCTCTGGCATATTTGGTTAGGGGGTCAGGGGCCCAGCGGCTTCCTCATGACCCAGGAGGCTCAGGGCCTATGGGATGGTCGAGTCTGATAAAGGTGGAACAGCACATTGAGTGGGGGTCAGCAGCAGACTTTGAAGTGGGCCGGCTCCGCCCTCCTCCCGCAGCCGCAGCCCTGGAGCCCCAAGCGTCCCCTCGGGGTTCAGCCCTCCAGGACCTGTGTCTGATGCCTGCATGTGGATACCTGGGCTCCGCCCTCCACTTCCAGGGCTCCAGGCGCAGCTTCCCATTCTGTGGGGAGGGTCTCCAGAGCCTCAGTCACGGCTGAGCTGGGGAACTGGAAGGGCCTCTCTGCATCTGGTCACTCGTGGCCCCTGCACCTTGGGTCATGACTTGCTTCGTGTGGCAACCCTGTGATAGCTGCTGCATCCTAGAAAACACGTAACAGGACATGAGGTGCCCTCTGCACCATGCGGACACGTGCGGGGAGACCCAGGCCCTGCGAGCCGGGCCCCGAGACATTCTGCACACAGGGGAGTTGCGGGGATTATCAAATCCTGCTTCAGTGGGAAACGTGAGCGAAACCCAATGTGAGTGGCTGCAGAGGCCTTAGGCTGCGCTGCCGCTGCCGAGAGCTGTGTGTCTGCTTTGGGTGTCTGCGCCGTGGGTGCCTCCGTGCCGGCGTCCACCCCAGCCGCTGTGGGCCAGACCCTCACATCTCCGCAGCTCAGAGCAGTTCTCCGCTTTAGCAGATGCTTGGCCGGCTGCAGCCAAGCCTGAGGGGTGGCAGGCTGGGGGGTCCCGCTCCCTTCTGAGGCATCTCCGTGTTGCAGGTCCGGCACTCCACCCAGAGCCTCTTTGAGTACATGAAGGGCATTCAGAGTGACCCGCAGGCCCTAGGCAGCTTCAGCAGGACCCTTCTGCAGATCTTCGAGGACAACCTTCTGAATGACAGGTGAGTGGTGTCTCTGGCGGCCTCAGAGGTGTGAGTGGTGCTGGTGCCTCTCACCACGTTCCCTAGATCCCGGGGTCTTGCAGGGTCTGTCTGGGGTCTGAAGGGAGAAGCGAGACACATGCTTTACCCATTGGTGGCTCAGCGAGGAGGATGTGCCTGCAGCACATGGTTCTCTGGGCGGTCAAGCCTCAGCCCCTGCACCTCCTCTTCCAGTCTGCACGTTAGGCAGGGAAATGACTGTTTTGTGTACACTGGATGTAAAGGTAATATGAGTAAAAGGTGGTCCCTGCGTGTAGGAAGGCGTTGTGGCGAGCTCCTCCGGCTCGGTGCTCCTGGGGACGCGCTTGCGGACACAGTCACCCAGCGTGTGAGAGCGTTGCGTTCCTAAGGATGGAATGTCAAGTGAGAAACATGGCTGCTTTCTGGAGTTTCTGCCTTTACTTGGAGGCAGAGTATAGACCCTGTGGGCCTTGACCTCAGAATTGGGAACATCCTCTGGAAGGGCTGTTCCCGGCGTGTGTGAGGACGAGGACGTGGACCTGGTGTCCCCTCAGGCGGGGCCTCGGCCGCCTCTCTCATGAGAGCACAGATGTCGCTCTCAGCAAACAGGAACTCGGCCCAGCCATGTTTTCTTGTTATGACTATAATCAGCTGCACGTAAAGGGAGCAGTTCAATCGATTTTGACAGGTGTCCACCCTTGAAACCGTCCCCATTCACGATGGAGGGCTCCAGCCCAGGGTTTCCTCCTGGCCCTTCGAGTCGACCTGCGTCACCATAGCCTCAGCATGTGGCCCCCTGAGGCGTCTGGGCCGTGTGCCGGTCGCTCATTCCTGCTTGCTGACGAGTCGTGTCCATTGGTGGAGGCACCACAGTGCGTCTGTCTGTGGGCATTTTGGTGGTTTCTCCCTTGGGGCTATTGCTGGGAGAGCTGCGGGCAGTCAGTGTGTGCACGCCTGTGGGGAGGTGTGCACCGCAGGACCTCCCTCGCCGTGGGCTGCGGAGCCCAGTTCTCCTGCGTCCGTTGGCCTGTGCTAAAGCTCTCCTGAGGCTCCTGTCACCCAGAGGGAACCTCCCCAGGCTCCTTTTCTGTGGGGTAACTACCGAGGTGCCGCAGGCTGGCCCACACGGAGGCGAATGTCTAGCTTTGGAAAGCTGCTGGAGGGTTTCCGGAGCGCCCACGTGTCATGCCTTCCTGCTGCTGCTGTCTGAGGTTGCTCTCTCTGGCGCCTTGCTGCTTTATATCCTCTTTGGAGAAGTGTCTTCATTTTTTTCTGGTCTCCTTCCTGGACTGTTGTGGTCTGATCCTCCGTCGTCACACATGTGACTTGAGGATGTTTTCTCCCTGCCTGTCCCTTCACGCACCGAGTGGGGGCTTACACTTTCCTCATGCCCCAGCATCTCCCCTTGTCCTCTGAGGCACAGATTTTTCTGGTGTGTCTGAGACAAGCTTGCCTAATCCGTGGTCACCGAGATTTTCTGTTTTGTCCTAGAAGTTTTATAGTTTTGGGTTGTGTATTTACACCTGGGGTGTGTCCTGAGTGAGGTTTTGTACGTGGTATAGCGTCGGCACAGGACCTTGACGCCCAGCAGTGCTCACCTCAGTTGCCGGGAGGGCTCCCTCTCCGCTGTGTTGCCGTTGCAGCTTTGTAAGAAACTGTGGGTTTACTTTGGAGCCTTCTGTGCCTGACATGTTTGCTTCGCTTTGCACCAGGGCTGTGCTCTTTCCATCCCTTCCGCTTTACCATCGTCTTCGAAGTTCAGTGTCAGCCTCCAGCCTTGTTCCTTCCTGCCACAGTTGTTTTATCTTTTCCTGAAGATTTGCGTTTCCACATACATTATAAAGGGGGCTTTTTGGTTTCCACAGTGGTGCCAGGGTTTCCACTGGGATCATACTGACTCTCAGCCAGTCGGGGATGGGCGTCCTTGTTGCTGGTGTCCAGGGTCTCACAGCTCCTTCTCCCCTCAGGGTGTCCCTGCCGCTGCTGAAGACTCTGGACCACGTGCTCACCCACGGCTGCTTCGACATCTTCACTGCGGAGGAGGAGTGAGGCTCTGCTTTTCATGACTTCCTTTCTGATTAAGCCTAAGTAGCTCACGTATGAAAGAAAAAGTAATCAGACACAGAGATCAGAATTCCAGGAAATGATCTTGCAGTGTGTTCAGGGTCAGTTATGATGACTGTAAATACCGTCCTAACAACTGACCCTCAGAATAACACGGAGTAATGAGTCACATAGTGACATATTATGACTGTAAGTGCAGTCGACCCCATGTGGGGCTGAGGCGGGGCCCCCGCGCTGTACGGGGATGAGACTCGCAGGGCAGAGGGCAGAGGCTGGTGACCTGGCGACTCGCAGGGCAGAGGGCAGAGGCTGGTGACCCGGCAAGGACATGCACAGGAGATGGGAGCTCCTTCTGCGCCCTGCGGATGTCCCCGGCTGGCCTCAGCTGGGTTGTCGGCCCTGAGTGGTCATCTCGTTGTTGCCGTGTTTTCTTGCTTCATTGAATTTTACCGTGTTGGGCCAGTGTTTTTTATTTATTATTTATTTTTGAGACAGGGTCTATCTAGCCCTGTTGCCCAGGCTGGAGTGCAGTGGCACAGTCACAGCTCACTGCAGCCTCTACCTCAGCCTCCCAAGGATCTGGGACTACAGACATGTGCTATAGTCTGATGTATGGCTAGTGTTTGTGTTTGTAGAAGGGACGGGGTTTCACTGTGTTTCCCAGGCTGGTCTTGCTGCCTTGGCCTCTTAAAGTGCTGGGATTACAGGTGTGAGCCACTGCCCCGACCTGGATAGATTTGTATCTGGGGTGCACTGGGTCATCTGGAGACAGTGTGGTCTTTTATGGGGGGGGGGGAGTGCTTTTTGTTTGTTTGAGATGGAGTCTTGCTCTGTTGCCCAGGCTGGAGTGCAGTGGCTCGATTTCAGCTCACCACGACCTCCTCCCGGGTTCAAGCAGTTCTCTCCCAGCCTCCTGAGTAGCTGGGATTACAGGTGTGCACCACCATACCTGGCTAATTTTTTGTATTTTTAGTAGAGATGGGGTTTCACCATATTGGTCAGGCTGGTCTCAAACTCCTGACCTCAAGTGACCTGCCCACCTCGGCCTCCCAAAGTGCTGGGATTATAGGCGTGAGCCACTGCGCCCGGCTTGGGCGCTGTTCTTAAGCTGTCAGGTGGACCCAGCGCCGCTCTGGTCTCTGGGTTTTTCTGCCTCTTTAAGGTCTCTGCTCCCTGGCGCTTCCCTTCCCACCGCTGCTGGGGCAGTGCCAGGGCTTCTGGTCATCTTTTGGGTGGTTCCTCCCCAGCCTTGGGCAGCATCCTCGTACTCAGGCACTGGCTGACCCAGGCCCAGGTGAGTCCTCAAGGGCCCCCAGGAAGCCCCCTCTGGTGCTGAGAACCTGAACGAGCTCTGCAGACTCGGGGTTCCCCGCTTCTCACCGTGGGATTCCCGCTGGAGCCTGCCACCTGCTGGACTTGGCTCTGCCTTAACCTTCGGGCGGGAGGCGGATCTTTGCTGGACGCTGCACATGTGTTCTAATCTGACAGCATCACAGGGTTTCCCCTTTTAGTTTGTTCATGGGCATCACTCACCTTATACCTGCTGTTGGAACCACCTCCATGTTCACAGGTGCACCCAGCTCGGTTGTGGTGTATTATTCTTTAATATAATGCTAAATATTCCATTAAAAAAATTTTTTTTGAGACAGTTTTGCTGTTGTCGCCCAGGCTGGAGTGCATTGGCACGATCTCGGCTCACCACAACCTCCACCTCCTGGGTTCAAGTGATTCTCCTGTCTCAGCCTCCCTAGTAGCTGGGATCACAGGCATGCGCTGCTATGCCCAGGTAATTTTGTATTTTTAGTAGAGATGGGGTTACAGCACGTTGGTCAGGCTGGTCTCGAACTCCCGACCTGAGGTGATCTGCCCGCCTCTGCCTCCCAAAGTGCTGGGACCATAGGCGTGAGCCACTGCGCTTGGCCTAAAATATTAACATATATTTTTCCGGCTTAAAAATTTCAAAATAAGGCTGGGCGCCGTGGTTCACGCCTGTAATCCCAGGACTTCGAGAGGCCAAGGCGGGTGGATCACTTGAGCTCAGGAGTTTGGGAGCAGCCTGGCCAACATGGTGGAACCCCATCTGTACAAAAAATACAAAAACATTAGCCGGGTGTGGTGGTGCCTGTATTCGCAATTACTTGGGAGGCTGAGGTGGGAGGATGGCTTGGGCCTGGGAGGTGAAGTTTGCAGTGAGCTGAGATTGAGCCACTGCACTCCAGCCTGGGCAACACAGCCAGACTGTTTCAAAAAAAAAAATTTTTTTTCCCCAAAATAGGATGGTAGAGAAAATACCTCCTGCCATGTCCTTCTGTGAATACAGCTCTTTGTGTTTCTCTCTCGTTTTGTCAGATTTCAAAGCGTGTTGTGGGCTGAATCTTGCCCTCATCACCCGCTTCATTTCTAGGATGCTTTTTGCTTCATTCTTTGTCTTGCTTCGCTTGACTTTGAACTGTATACTTTTTTCCATTCTTTTACTTTCAGTATCTTCGTGTATTTATGTTTTTGTACATCTCTCATAGAACAGTATAGTTTTGTAAAAATTCAGCCTGTAGCTTTTACCTGCGTCCTTCATGACCTTTATGATCCCCTTGGTTCTCAGTCTGCCACTCACAGGGCTTTTCCCTGTGCTGCGTTCCCAGCGCCCCCCCTGCCCCCATCTGTGCTTTTTGTTGGATTAGTAGAATTGCTTTTGTCATTCCATTATTTTCATATATTTGTTTGGGACATTTTACTCTTTTTTTCTGTTCTGTTAACGCTTACCCTGGAAATTAGAAATGACACCACATATTCTTAGCGAAGTCCAGTTTTCAACATTTTTCCTTATTGGACAACAGCAAGGATATTAGAACATGTTGGTTCTGCGTGCTTCCGTCCTGAGTTATATGCTACTGTTGTTGGATATTTTGTCTTGGATGTACATAGTTTCCTGTTCATTGTGGTATCGTGTAATGTGCGTTATTTTGAATTTTCCACGTTTTTATGCTTTCTTTGTCTCTCATCACTTACTGATTTTGGGACCCGCCCCCTCCCCCTGCATCGAGGTTCACATTCCCTCTCCCTACAGCACACTCCCTTGGATTTCCTCGAGTGGGGTCTGCTGCTGGTGAAGCTTTCCCATTTTATGTGCAGATTATTTTCAGAGGGTGTATAGAATTCAGGTGGCTGTTTTGTTTCAGCACATTAAAAATATTTTCCCACTTCCTCCTGGCTTCTGTTGTTGCTTTTGAGTGTCACCTGAGTCAGCCTGTGCTCCCTGGGAATGGCCTGGGTTTCCCGCCTCCTGCTCGGGTTTGCTCCTTCCCTGGCTTTTCTGTCATTATCACGCTCATGCGTTTCCCCCGTCACCCCCTCTGCAATTTTCACACGTCTTTTCCCTCTCTCTTTGCTTCATTACCTTTGGCCCACCTGCCAGCTGCTGATTCTCTCTGATGTCTCTAAATGACTTTGAACTGTGATTTGTGGAATTCTTATTTGGGAGTTTTGCGTCTTTTCAGGTGCAGGTTTTTTGTCTCGTGTGTTTCCATATCTGCTTGTCGTGCTTTCTGCTTGGCCGTTCCCTGCGGCCCTTCCTTCCGTGCCCGGTGTCCATCCTCTTGAACACTCTTCTCCTGCCTGTTTGGGTGTGTCTGAGCTGCAGCCCAAGCTGGTTTGTTTTCTTACTTATCTGCTATTGTGTACTCTCCGGACGTTGCGTTTGAGGGGTTCCACTTCAGAGCAAGCCAAGGCCTGGGCTAAGCCTGCGTTTTGGCAGGCAGGACCTTAGTTTGCCTTTTCTGGGCACCTGAGGGAGGGTAGCAGCAGCCTGGGGTCTCCTTGACCTACGGTCAGCAGTGAGGGTTTCCTGGCCTGTCGGGTGGCTGGAACTTGGCTGCATTCCCCCGAGAGGCAGGTGCGTGTCTTCTCCCTCTGCTCCCTGGAGAGGCCTTCTGGGTGCCCTCTCAGAGCTGCTCATCAGGGCTGCGTCTTTGTCAGCACCAAGCCTCAACCCTTGTCCCTGCTGCCACTGAAGGCTCAAAACAACACTGCACAGCCTTGTGTGTCCTCTGTGTGTCAGCAAATTCCCCCGGCTCTGCAGCAGCCAGGCCAGGCAGCCTCTGGAGAGGGCGGTGGAGGAGCACGGGCATCCTGGCTGCCGCTGTGTTGGGGATGGACCCTGGGGCCTGGGAAGGGAGGTGGGGGCCCCGTGGGGGCTGCTGCACCACAGGTGGGAGAGAGCAGAGGCCGGCCAGGTGGTGGCACAGCAGCTGGGGACCAGGCCGGCCTGTGGAGGTACCGGGATGGGGACCAGCGGACTTGCTGGCAGAGGGGCCCACAGGGCTGCAGGCTTCTTGGACTGAGCACTGGGAGGACGGAGTTGACCTTTGAGACAGAAAAAGTGTGCGTCCCGGGGCTGCCTGTGAAAGCTCATCTCTAAAGAGTGTGTTGTTCTTCCAGCCACCCCTTTGCTGTGAAGCTGCTTGCGCTTTGTAAGAAAGAAATCAAGAATTCCAAAGACGTCCAGAAACTGCTGTCAGCCATCCCCGTGTGAGTTTCAAGTGCTACTGGCCTTAGACGCAACAGCAGGGCGCAGCCTCCCTTGGCCGAGGGCAGGAGTCCGCGGCTCCAGGCGGGAGAGGAGCAGTTAGTGTTATCCCTCGAGCTAAGCTAAGATTGTGCGTTCCAATGTCCAAAGCAGTTGCAGTGGGAGGCGAGGCAGCCCAGGTGCTGGTGCCGGAGCAAGCGAGCTCTGCCTTGCTGCCCTCACGCTCTGCCCGGTGGGGAGGGGAGCCCCACAAAGGAGGTATGTGGTCAGGGGCTGCCTCCCCGATTCTGTGTGCCCAGGGGGTTGCTGTTGAGTGCCTTGCTCTGTGGCGCTCAGGTGGACACTGGGCAGGTGCGCCAGCCAGCGATAGGCACCTTGGCTGCTCTGTGGCTCTTTGAGGCTCGTGGCAGGGCGAGCAGCCTTGCAGGAGATCCTCCGAGGCGTCCTCACTTCCCACAGTGGGCTCTCCCAGTGTGACACTCACGCGTGTACAGGCACAGTGCACATGTGCACACAGACACACCTCTGGCTCAGGGCTCCGGTCCGCACTGTGCTCACGGATCTGCTCTCCCCCGGTCTCTGTGTGGGTCTTGGGGTCGGCGGCTTCCTGGGGTCGGCCTGCGTGGGGGCAGGGCTCACCCGGCCCGTGTGCTGCTCTCGGCAGGTTCTGCGAGATGGTGCAGTTCCCCGGCAACGTGAGGAGGAGCGCCCTCCTGCAGCTGTGTCTGCTCCTCTGCCACCGCTTCCCGCTGGTGAGTGCCTCCCCCGTTCATGTGTGTTTGCTGTGTGGACTCAAGCCCCTTGGTGACACAGAGGCCTTGGAAGGCACTGTTCGCTGCTGTGCTTTCCAGCCGAGCCCCCTCTGTAACACGCCTGGGTGATGTGCATCCCAGGCACGCAGCCATCAAGGGGCTCGGACGTCACTGTTCTGGCTTCAAGGATGGGGTGTCCGGCTGGCATTTCTATGGACACAAACCGAGGGGTGACCTGGCCGTGGGAACTGGCTCAGGAGCTTCCGGAAGGATCCAGGCTGAAGTGGTTTAAGCACACCTGGGGCAGTGCCCTTCATCCCCAGCACTCCCCAGCTGTTAGACTTCTAGGATTTCTTTTCTCTTGGCTGCAAAAAAACCTCAGATGATCCGAAGGTGACATTTTCCTAAAAGGCAAAAGTAACTTCACGTTATACAGCGGTTCTCGAAGCGGGGTGCTGGACCCTCAGCCTCAGCACCTCTGGGGCTTCCGCATGCAGGTTCCTGGGCCCTGTCCTGCTGACTCAGCACCTCCAGGGGTGGGCCCGGGGCTCTGACCACCAGCTCAGTGAGACGTGATGACCAGAGCACCGCTAGCAAAGAGAGCAGCTGTGATTACTTCCCTGATGGAAAAAAGCAGGCAAAGTTGCTTCTCTGGAGAGGGAGCACGCTGGTTAACAGAGCATTTAGACAAGAATGACGTGATCTTCACTGCTGGGAGCCTGCAGCTGTGTGTCTGTGGAGGGAGGAGGTGGTTAATGGGCGTGGAAGGCGCCTCCTGCTGTGGCTGGGATGGGATGCAGGGTCAGAGCCCTCCTCCTGACGCCTTCCACTGACGGGGCTCCCTGACCTGGTCCTGTCGTCTCTTTGGGGTGGGGCAGTGGTGCTTCCCTCCCGCCAATACCCTGCGTCCCTGTCCCAGATCCGGAAGACCACGGCCAGCCAGGTGTACGAGACATTGCTCACCTACAGTGACGTCGTGGGCGCGGACGTGCTGGACGAGGTGGTGACTGTGCTCAGCGACACTGCGTGGTGAGTGAAGACCCTTCCTGCACAGCCACCCGGGCCTGGCACCGCCCCCTTCCCCACCATGTCAAACGGCCACCCGGGCCTGGCACCGCCCCCTTCCCCACCATGTCAAACGGCCACCTGGGCCTGGCACCGCCTCCTTCCCCATCATGTCAAACGGCCACCCGGGCCTGGCACCGCCCTCTTCCCCACCATGTCAGCTCGTCTCTCCCAAAACCCTCGGATAGGAGGAAAGAGGGCTCCCAGGCCTCGACAGCCTCTGCTTGGATTTTACGAGGCAGCAGTGGTGCTGTAGCTGAAACCTCAACCACCCTGTCCCTGAACACTGTCGGGTGTCAGAAACACAGCAAAGCCATCCATCGTGCCACCACAAGGCTGTGTCTGAAGGCCTGGCAGGTACTGCTGCCCCAGGCGCCCCCCAGGGAGGGCCTCTTGGGCCTCTCTTCAGTTTTCTTGGAATAGGCCGCGTGAGCACCTGTAGGAAATCAAGAGGCACAGGCGGAAACAAGAAAAGATCTCCCCACGCCTCTGCTCTGATGTCCACCCCCTTCCCCGGGGCTGGGAGACCCTCAGGAGGCCACAGCGCCACTCTCCACGTTCACTGTGGCAGGCACAGTTTCTTTACCACGTGGGCTGGTTTCTTTACCGTGGGTGGATTAGAATGGCAGTTTTGAAAGATGTGTCTGTTGAGTTGCGGGGTAGGAGGGTCTGAATGAGAGAGCAGAGTGGGGAAAGTGCAGGCTTAGGTGTCCTGGGCCAACTGGTGTGGTCCTGGGAGCAGCAGTGATGGTGCCTCACACACGGGGGCATGTGCACCCACGCTGGCTCACACACATGCTCACTTGCACACTCACCTATAAAAGGGGAGCAGTCTCGTCACCCCGTGTTGGAGATCAGGCCTGAAGCACCCAGAGGCTGTGTGGGCGTCCCCGTGGCACACCCGGGGTGGTGGAGTCCCAGGTGCTGCTGAGTCCCAGTCGGCTGCTCTGTTTAGAGCGCCGACTGTGAGGGCCTCCGTGCCGATCTCAGTGCGTTGCTACAGGTCTGTGGGGTCCGTGCCACCTGTTGAAGCCAGCAAGGACGTAGGTGACGTTCCCTAGGTGTCTCCTTGGAACAGTGACCTTCCGACAGGGCTGGGTTCCCATAGAGCTCAGGTGCCGGGCAGCTGCTGTGGCCTCGGAGGACAGAGGTGGCCTCTCCAGGGCTTCCCCGAGGTTTTCTGGTTTGGGGAGGAGTGAGCGTCTCTGCTCCTAAACAAACACGTGGTCCCAGGAGAGGAACCAGGAGCAGCTGGGCTGTCTTCTCAACATCCATTGAGAGATTGGCCGTCTTAACTACTGCTCTAGCGACACGTTTTTAAAATGATGTTTTTAGAACACCAAGGTGCATTCTGGATCAGATTCTAAAATAATTGGCTTTAGGACAGTGAAGCAGCCAGGGGTCCCGAGCGGGCTGAGGCCTCCAGCTAGGCTGGGCCGGGGCAGCCTCCTTTCCTCACGTCGGGGAGGGAGGAACTAGCAGGGTGGGCCTGGGGGCTTCTCCTATAGTTTAATCCCCTTTCTGTTAAAAAAAATCCTTAGAATTTAAAGAGAATCTTTTAAATTACAAATGAAACACATGCCGCAGACATCTCCACAGCATTGGCATTGCTAGAATTTTTATTTGGCATCAACAGCTGAGTTAAAACTTCTAAAATCCTTGTCAGCCCTTCCTTGGCCTCACTTGGTCTGTCCTCCTGCAGCCCTTGCACTGGGCGTGGGCGTGGTCCTCCCCGAGGGGTGACCCTTGTTGGGAAGGAACCGTCCTGCAATTCTGGAAGGGTTCAGGCCTGAGGCCCTGTTGGAGAACAGGCTCCGGAACCGTCCTGCAATTCTGGAAGGGTTCAGGCCTGAGGCCCTGTTGAAGGAAGCGAGGCTCCCTGTGATAGCTGGAACCGTCCTGCAATTCTGGAAGGGTTCAGGCCTGAGGCCCTGTTGGAGAACGGGCTCCTGTGATGGCTTTTCTGCCCTCAGCCTGGCTGCAGATATCTGGGGTGAGGTCTCCTTTCCCCGATTGCTGCCGTGGAAGCTGACGTGGGGCCTCTGCACACCTGAGGTTCTAAGGTGGGCACTTGAGAGATTCGTGGCTCCCTCTCCTCACAGGGACGCGGAGCTTGCAGTCGTGAGAGAGCAGCGCAACCGTCTGTGTGACCTCCTGGGTGTGCCCAGGCCCCAGCTGGTGCCCCAGGTAACGCTGTCGTTGCCCCAGGCCCCAGCTGGTGCCCCAGGTAACGCTGTCACCTGCACAGCATGAGGCACCTGTGCTTCCCTGAGCCCTTGAATGTTCTGGGGCCAGCGGCTGTGCTCAGCTTCTGCCAGTGCATCCACACGGTCCATTCCCTCGTCTCATGTCAGGACCCCTGGGATTACGGGACCAGCAGAGCTGCCTTCTCTGCCCGCACCTGTGGGTCCCTGTGGCGTCTAGGCCACTTGCTCTGGGGCATGTTTGGGGGGCTGGGGTTGGGATCAGCTTGATCCAGGCTCCTCATGCCTGACCCTGGCGTCTGTTTGCACTCCCAAGTGCCAAGAGTGCCTCCCTACTCCTCATCTGCCTCCCACGAGTGGGGCCAGGGCTGGGTGAGAGGCCCCCAGAAGCTGCCCTGTGCACCTCGCCAACCCGTCACTCTTCTTCTAAAGTAACAAAAACAAGTGCCTCACTTCTCACGGGGGCTGGGGCCCAGGGTTGCTGTCCTGTCTCTCTCGTTACCTGGGTCAGCCCTTTCCTCTCAGCCCCCTTTCATACGGCAGGAGGGGAGGAGAACCATATCCAGATCCATGGGGGCAGTGGGGATGGGCTGAGCACCAGGACACAGCCTCCCGCATTTCTGTGTGTGTAAAGGCTGAACTCAACAGCAGACTTTGGAGTTAAATGTGCTTTTTGCATTTTTATTAGGAAAAATTTCAAAGGTGTGAATGCAGGTTAAGAGCAGTGCAGCGAACCTCCCTTCCCGCTCCCCAAATGGGGTGTCGTTCCGAGGACACGTTAGTCATGAGCGCCTGTCAGCCACATAGCTCAGGCTCCCGCGCGTGGGGAAACGGCACAAATACAGTTTCCTGCAGGAACCCAGTGTCAGTCCCCACACAGGGCCCAGAGGGGCGAGGGTCCCCTGGCTGGGAATGGTGTGTGATGGAGCTGACCAGCCTGAGCTTGTCTTGTCTCTTCTGCAGCCTCACGCCTGCTGAAGCCAGTCCTGGAGCCCGTACCTCACCCCTGCCTGGTGGGGATGTCTTGTTCCTGAGGGAGGCCGGTGTGGAAAGCCTGGCATGGTGGTGCCTCCAGCTGTTGAAGGGTAGTGCTGGCCCTCGGAGGCTGGCACCAGCTGACAGCTTTTCCTCTCTGTACCTGCCCTCTAATGACCTGGGGTGGATGCCTCTGCCTTCACTTGAACACAAATGTGCTTCCTATAAAATCATGTACCAAGAAGTTCCTGCCTTTTGTCTCTGAGCCTGATGCGTGTAGGGTGATAGAGGGGCTCACTGCCCAGGGGTCAGCCAGAGGGGGTTGGGTTCCACTCCTCCTGCCTGGAGACCAGGCCCCCTTCTCGCCTGGTGCTGTCCCTGCTGTGGGAGACGTCTGGCCACAGCTGATGGTCTCCCCAGTCTTGGAGAGAGATGTTAAATCAGAGGTTCAAATGCCAGAGAACTGACAAGCCCTGGTGGCAGGCATGGTCTAGAGTGCTGCGCAGATGCTGTTTCTGGGACCATCTGCCTGGTGGGGGTGCTGTCCTCCCGCCTGTGCACACGTGAGCATCGTGCATGTGGTCCCCTGCAGTGCAGGGTCACTGGTTGGTGGGTGTGCAGACCAGCAGCTTCACAAATGTCTGCTGCAAGGGGAATTGTCAGAGTCCAATGTGTGCCTCTACAAGAATATGGGAAATACAATTCTTGAAACGATTACACTGTCTTAGGAGAGCCTGGGCAGAGTCTACACTTGGGTTTTTAAGCAAAGGGCAGGAGGCTACCTTTGTCTCCGTGTCTAGCTCATGCTGATCCATCCCAAAGCTGGTGAGGGGAACGTGTATAAAAATTTCACTGTGGTAGCAACCCACACCCACCTACCTGGGACCTGTGCTGTGCTCACAGGGCTGGAGGTGCAGAACCACCGCCCCACCGCCAGCAGCACGCAGCACCAAGGCAGCCTCAGGTGTGGCCACTCGGAGGCCCGAGGGCTTGGGTGAGCAGTGCTTTCCCTGGGTGAAGAGCCCAGGGGTGCCATGTGCGTGGTGTAGATGGGGGTGGCTCCCCGGCCTGCGCTCTCAGGTGGGGATGGGGTCTGGACACAGGAACATGGGCAGGCCCAGAACTGGGAGATGCCGCCTGCATCTGTGAGGCAAGGCTCAGTCGTGGTTCTCACTTGTGAGGCCACCAGGACCACAAGGCCAGGACTGTTGACAGTTCATGCTGTCTGTTTAGCAGACAGCTGTTCACGGAATGTGTGTGATGACCTGGTCACACAGGAGTGTGGGGTTAACACACTACCGTTCTTGTGCTTGACCTGGTGGCCAATGGTCTTTATCCCTTAAAAGAGCCTTGTGTTAACGTTTTTACGAGATTTAAACATTTTATTCCAACCTGTGTAATTGGGGTCTCCTCCTCCTCGAACTGTCCCCTCGATTGGCTGGGGTCACGTGGTGAGGGTCCTGGGTGACCAGGCCCAGCCTTGGCCACACGAGTCCACACGGTGGAAAAGGTTCGGCTCCTGTGGTCGGCACACACGAGACTGGTTGCGCCTGCTGGGTGTGGAACTGGGGTGCACCATTGCCATGCCTGCAGCTCACGAAGCTCCTGCTGGCCTGGGATGCACTGAGGACGGAGGGAACAAGTGGCTTCTGAGAAAAACATGATGAACTGTTCTTAGTGCAATTAAAAGAAGATTCCAGAGAAATGGCATTTTTAAGACATGGAGGCAGGTCGATTCCCCACCCAGGCCCATCAGTGACAGGGCAAAGCAGTTCTTCTTTCAATGTCGGTCTAACTTAGCAACCCAAGGAAAGTGGATCGCTCCACTGGCTACTGCCCCTTTCCTACTGGATCCCATCCATCACTGGGGCACTTGTGCTCACCAGATAACTGGTGGCCTGGAAAGCCTCTTTCATTCAGCAGCCGTTTCTGGAGCCCACCAGGGTCCAGGTGATGGAGTTTGGCGAGGAACCCCTTGTTCACATGATAACTGGGGCAGACAATAGCATATGAACAAGCAAGCACCATCAAGGCAGGCAATACTGAGCACTGCGAAGAAAGATAAAGTGGGCAATGCAATGGTGTGTTGGGTGTTGACCCCTAGAAGAGGTGTTCAGAAAACGGCTCTGAAGGGGCAGCATTTGGGCAGAAGTCCAAACAAACTGTGCCCAATGGCAGAAAAGAGAATGCTTGTGGTCCCAGAAGTAGAGCAAGCTTTGTGAGTTTAGAGAACAGCAAGAAGCCAGTATCCCTGGAACTGGGGAGCTGGTGCAGGATTTGTGCACCCACAAACCAGAAGAGACCTTGGAGATCCTGAGGGTTTCTGCTGAGCCCTGGAGTCCAGTCATGCTGTTTTGATAGCAGAATGGATGAGAGGATGTAAGGCCCAGGGCCAGATCTAATAGGAGACCCCTATGTAGAGCTGGGACCCTAAATAAATCTTTCTCAAAGGAACGGCACAAGACTCTTATCTCAATCTCCCCTGAAGTGGCCTGAATTAATACTAACTGTATGATCCCCAAAACTCCTAAAGTGGAAAATTCGATTGACTTGGCCTTGACCAGTGGTATTCCCAGACAAGGGGCAGAAGATGCAAATATAAAACCTCTCTGGAGGAATGTAGGCTATGAGTACATTTGTGAAAGGGCTAGAAATTATCAAGAAGAGATTTGAAAAAAATAGAGCCCCTAAAAATGTAAGAAGTGAAATTAAAAGCTCAATAGATACTTTAGACACTGCTGAAGAGAGAGTTAGAAAACTGGAAGATCTGAAAAAATTATCTGGAGAACTGGAAAATACGAAAGCAACATCACAAGACATTGAAGAATGTCTAATGTTTGGGTAATTGGGGTCTCGGAACGAAATGAAATGATGCAGATACTCCATACTGACATGCAACAGTCCCCAGATACAGAAGCCTAACAGTCTCACACATTTAGACCTGCCACAGTGAAACTGCAGAACTGTAAGAAGGACAGAGTGATATAAATGACTACCAATTTCCCAGCAGCAGCCCTGGAGTTGAGGAAGAAGTAGACCAAGATCTTCATTATGCTGAGAGAAAATAGCTGTTAAGTTGCTTGAATTGTGCCCATAGCATAACATAAAATAAGAGAAGAAAATTAAGTCATTTAGATAAAAATATGCCGTTCTCATGCATGTTTGGTTTTTAAATCTTGGCTTAGTATTTGGGGTTATTTGTTGTGAGAGCTGTCCTGTGTATTGCAGGTTATTCAGCAACATCCCAGATGGCAGTAGCCATCCCCCTACCCAGCTGTGACAAAAGGAGAAAAAAAATGTCTCCAGAGATTGCCAAATATCTTCTGGGCGTGCATTCATCCCTGGTTGAGAACCACTGCTTTAGTGGATAAACTTTAGGCAGGAGGGAAATGATCACAGTTGGATAGTTGGAGGAATGTGGAACAAGGAAAGCAATAAACTGTGACCATAAAAACAGAAAGATGGCTGATATGTGGATTTTTTTTAAGCACATAGAATTGCTTAAAATCGACAACAGCAGCATATAAATCAGCAGCAGAGTTGGTGGCTGAATTTAGAGCATCTTAAGTCTTTATGTTCTCCTGGAACAGAGTGCAGACAATTCAGTTATCAGCTTGGCTAAGTGCATGTTGAAGTTTTTAGAGTCACAAACAGTTAATATATGGGGAAGATAACTTCTGTACTACTAGTAGGAGAGAAATGGAACAATAATAAAAAATACACTATCAAAATTGCAAGAATGGCAAGAGGAAAAGGCAGAACAAGCTGCAAAAAAAAAAAAAAAAAAAAAAAACAAGAAATAAATATTTTAGGGCACAATAAATGTAAATGGATTAAAACCTCTATGTTAAAGACAACGTTCTCCAGTTAAAGGCAGGCAAATTATCAGGAATAGATTACTATATGATGATTAAAGGCTCAGTTCAACAGGAAGATGATAGAACTTTCCTACATTTGTAACCCAGTCTCAGAAGATACTAAAGCAAACATGGAAGAAGAAATTGATCATCTACTACCACAGTGTATTTTATTGCATTGATACATTTCAATAGAGTGTCATAAGGCACGGCTGAAGAAGAAAAGCTTGACCCAGTGGACAGTTACAGAACCTAAGTGTGTGTGTGTACACACACATTTTAAAAAGATGTTTTTAAGAACATCTCTTTAAAAGAAATAATGAAAATTACAAAATATATAATGAAAGATAAAATAATCACAACAGATAGAATTCACCTAAAGTGGTGCGTAAGTGATTCTGAAGTCTTGAATTATACATTAGAGAAGAAAGGCTGGAAATTAATGAGCTGAACATAAGCAGAAGACTAACTGTAAAGAAAATTAGAATAAGAGCAGAATGTAGAGGAAATTAAGCATAATAAAGGCACAAACTCAGATGGTGCTTCGGTGAAAAGACCCACCTGGGAGCAGCTGCCATGGGTCCGTCAGCTGAAGTGAAGGAAGTCCTGGCCCTCCTGCAAGTGCAGCGACCTCAGGTTGTCCTCAAAGGCGCCCCCTGTGAGGTCCTGTCAGGAGCAGCAGATACAGCTCAGTCCCATCTCTCCTGGCTCCAGGAGGCCACTGGGGAGCCTCCTCCAGAGTCAGGGGTTGTGTGGGGGTGGCCTGTGTCTACCTGTCAAGTGGTCTACTATGAAATTCTGCCCCTCTGCTAATAGCGGAGAGGCTGAAAGGAGACAAGGGCCAGAGAGGACAGCAGCCGGCACTGCTTGTACCACAGGCCCTGGTGGTCACCAGAGGGGAGGCCCCTGCCTTCTGGCCTTGCTTCTCTGCAGAAGGTGGCTGACTCTCCCTGGGGGCACTCGGAATGGAATGAGACTAACAGGCAATGCCTCTGCTGTTCGACCAGGGCAGACCCACCTTCCCTCCACACACCCACCCCTCTGCAGAGGCCAGGAGTGGGAGGAGGCCCCTCAGACAGAAACTGCATCTCAGAACCATCAACAGCTGGCCCTGTCTGATCCCCTCTGGCCTCTCTCATCCCCACCCCTGCAGTGGAGTGAGGGCCGTGACCCCGGGTCCCTGGATGCTTTATCTTGTCCTGTGTACCGACTGGACAGGTCGTCTACTCTCCTGTATGAGGCCACAGCAAGTGTCCAGAAATGCCTTTCAGACATGCCCTGCACCCCAGCACCTCCTGAAGAAGCTCTTGAGGACATATCCCGGCACAGTGGTGGACCCAAGTCCCTGGCCTCTGGCAGGACACGGGAGGGACCGTGCACTCCCGTCACAGTCCTCGGTCCTTGGGCCCAGCAGGAGGAATCGGAGCCTGGCCGTGCCCCCTACCCCCACCACGTCAGAATCCATTACACCACCTACCACTGTTGTCACTCAAATGATGCTGTCACTTGAATGAAAGCCATCCTGCCTGGAAAACATTTCCACACGCTCTGCTGCTATCTGTCCTTCCTCCCTTGTCTCTCTCCTCTAGAGTTTGCAAAGGAAACACACCTGAGTTCAGGGACCAGGCCAGCCCAGTGCGTGTTGACACCATCTTAAACAAGACTGTTAAAACTAGATGCTTCTGTAAAGCAACATGTTCCATTAGAAGAATGAAAAAGCAAACCACAAAACGGAGAAAGACATTTGCAAAACATTAAACCAACAAAGGTGAGCAGCCAGAGGCACAGAGGACTCCTACAGGTCAGGAGAGACGCAGCGTGCAGTAGGCCGGTGGGGAACCCTGATGAGAAACACCGCCAGAGAGGAAAGAACTCCAGCATCCAGTGGACACGGGGTTGATGCTCAGACTCACACCTGAAACCACCATGAGAACACGCTCCCCAAACTGCTGGTGACCAAGTGCCCAGCCCAGTGCGAGGGAGCTGTGCGGCTGGGCCCTCTGGCTCCCGGTGTGTTCCCGGGCCAGCCTCTTGGCGAGTATCATCCAGAGAAGCTGAGGATGCAGCCGCACCCACGACCTGCCTTCCACTCCCAGGATTAGACCTGAAGCAGGGACTCTCACGCAGGAGGACACAGCGTCCTTGCAAGAGCAAACTGGGAACCACTGCCCACAGGCCTGGGTCCTGGCGTGGCCTCTGGGTGGGGTGGCGTTTGCACATGGGACATGGATAAAGTCCACACCACACACAGCGGATATGCACACGCCCCAAACACGTGGAGTGAAAACCAGATGCAAGAACACAGATACTGGATTCTGCTCACGTGAACTACAAAAATAGGGTAAATTAGACAACGGTTTAGGGATGTGTTCACACACACGCCATGAGGGATGTGTTCACACACACGCCATGAGGGTTGGCCCTGCCAGGTGCCAAAAGCATGTTCACAACCAACATAGAAAGATGGCATTTCATTCCTGGAAAAGCAGGATATAAATGATGTTGGGACAATTAGGTATCCAAATGGAAAGAAAAATTTGCATTTGTAATCTATTTACCAAAAGAAATTCCAGTTGTATCAAAGATGTAATTAAAAAGTAGAAATCCCAGAAGCAAAATTGGACAATGTGGTTTTTTGAACTTCACAACCAGGAGTGATTGCCTCAGAATGAATCAAACTCCATAAATGAAAGTCATTTAATTTGATTATATCACAATGGCATAAATATAAAAATGTCAAATGGCAGAAAAATTCACAGCACGTCAGAGAGTTTTCCTTATGAAAATACTGACCAATAGAAAAATGGGCTAATGAAAAGAATAATTTACTAAAAGGGAAATAAAGCAGTTCATAAATACGTGAGAAGATGCTTTCCCTCCCTGTAAGGGCACGAGGCAGGTGCTCCGTCGCTGGTGGGGGTGGGTTGGCACAGCCCCTGCAGGTGGTGAACAGCAAGATTGGGGCTGAATGTGTGTGCTCTTTGACCCAGAAATTTTTAGAATTTATTCCACATAGAGCCACTTGAGCGAAATTATGTATATATACAAATACTCACTGCAGCGGCATTTTAAACAGTGAATGATTAAAAATGGCCAAAATGTACATCAGTAAGTAACTGTATCACAAATGCATGAAACATCCATATAATTGAAGAGCGGGTGTTTTAGTGAGGAACGTGAACCTTGGGTTTCTCTTTACTATTCCAGCTAACAGTGGAGGAAGGCACAACAGCAGCGCCACAGAGGTGCCGAGACCCCCGAGGTGCTCCTGCCAAACGGAATCGCAGGGGAGCCTGATGTGGCCTTGGTGTGACCACGTCTCAACAGGACGGAGCAGAACACGCAAAACCACAGGGCCCCGGTCGGCGAGTGCAGGATGCACAAGCCCCTGCTTTAGCTGAACTGAGAAGAGAGCGCTGGTGTTGGGGAGACAGAGAGAAAGGTGTCGTAGAGGTCCCACGGACACTGCCGGATTCCAGCAAGCAAACTTAAAACATGAAGCAGTTTACAAGGCAGTGAGGAAGATCTGAACATTGGATATTTGGAATTCTGTGGTGGTTTTATGGTCTTTTGAACGTTTTTATCTCTTTGAGATACATCAGGGAAACAATAATGGATGAAATTAGGCTAGAATGAGTGTCACACCCCAGCGTGGGGATTTGGAGGCGTGGAGGACACAAGGTGGACACGCTGGCTCCAGGGATGGGTACGTGGGGCTGGTTTCCCGTCGCTTTGCTAATACGGCTCAAATAAGCCGGAAATATCCCTGAATAGAAAGGTCACAGCGGCAGTGGAGCCCAGGGGCTCCAGTGGCTTCACACGGAATAACCTCCAATCTACATTACGTGAAAAGAGCACGACATGGAACGAGCATGTGCTGTGAGGCCACACTGCCAGCTGCCCCTGGAATAACACGCAAGACAGGTGACCGTGGGGGCTCCGGGCCCTCCAAGGACATGGCGTGTGCAGGACAAGGAGGAACCTCCTTTCCACGCTAAGCCCACTCCCTGGGAAGGGTTTTCACCAAGTGCCTTGGGGTTCACATGAGCGCCCCAAGGTGGTAGTGACACCACAGGTCACCGTAACACATACAGTAACAGTTTGAGGCATTGCGAGAACTACCACGAGGAGACATGGAGTGGCCGTGCTGCTGGAAGAGTGGCACTGACAGGGTTGCTCTAGTGGGGCTGCCACACGCCTATAATTTATAAAACGCACAATGAAGTGCAATAAAATGGGATGCGCCAGTAATTGCCGAAAAGCTGTGCCCATGAGGCTCTGTTCACGTTCTGCTGCCTGGACTTGCAGTAGTTGTGTGACAACTCACCACAGGCCGGGCAGTACAGACCAACACATGCTGGCCTCACGGCTTCTGCAGGGCGGGAACCATGACCCGCCGTGGTGTGGCGTGCTTCTAGCTCTCACGGGTGCCCGTGTCTGTGTGTTCCCCACAACCTCCCAACAGTACTGCTCGAGGCCTGGCTCACTCTATCAACCACCTACCCTTTGGTTATTTATCAAGAAAATGCAAAGCAAAAAAAAAAGCAGGGGTTGCAATCCTAGTCTCTGATAAGACAGACTTTAAACCAATGAAGATCAAAAAAGACAAAAAAGGGCATTACCTAATGGTAAAGGGATCAATGCAACAAGAAGACCTAACTATCCTAAATATACATGCACCCAATACAGGAGCACCCAGAGTCATAAAACAAGTCCTTAGAGATCTACAAAGAGACTTAGACTCCCACACAATAATAATGGGAGACTTTAACACCCCACTGTCAATATTAGATCAACTAGGCAAAAAATTAAAAGGATACTCAGGACTTGAACTCAGCTCTGGACCAAGCGGACCTAATAGACACCTACAGAACTCTCCACCCTAAATCAACAGAATATACATTGTTCTCAGCACCACATAGCACTTACTCTAAAATTGACCACATAACTGGAAGTGAAATAGTCCTCAGCAAACGCGTAAGAATGGAAATCCTAATAGTCTTTCAGAACACAGTGCAATCGAATTCGAGCTCAGGATTAAGAAACCCAAAACTGCACAACTACATGGAAACCGAACAACCTGCTGCTGAATGACTACTGGGTAAATAACGAAATTAAGGCAGAAATAACGAAGTTCTTTGAAACCAATGAGAACAGAGAGACAATGCACCAAAATCCCTGGCACACAGCTAAAGCAGTGTTAAGAGGGAAATTTATAGCACTAAATGCCCACATCAGAAAGCAGGAGAGATCTAAAATCGACACCCTAACATCACAACTAAAAGAACCAGAGAAGCAAGAGCAAACAAATTCAAAAGCTAGCAAAAGACAAGCAAGATCAGAGCAGAACTGAAGGAGACAGAGACACAAAAAACCCTTCAAAAAAATCAATGACAGGGCTGGTTTTTTGAAAAGATTAACAAAATAGACCGCTAGCCAGGCAAAGAAAAGAAGAACCAAGTAGACACAATAAAAATCGATGAAGGGGCTATCACCACTGATCCCACAGAAATATAAACTACCATCAGAGAATACTATAAACACTTCTACGCAAATAAACTAGGAAAGCTAGATGAAATGGATAAATTCCTGGACACATACACCCTCCCAAGACTAAACCAGGAAGAAGTCGAATCCCTGAAAAGACCAATAACAAGTTCTGAAATCGAGGCAATAATTAATACCCTACCAACCAAGAAAAGCCCAGGACCAGATGGATTTACAGCCGAATTCTACCCGAGGTACAAAGAGGAGCTGGTACCATTCATTCTGAAACTTCCAAACAATAGAAAAAGAGGGAGTCCTCTGTAACTCATTTTATGAGGCCAGCATCATTCTGATTCCAAAACCTGCCAGAGACACAAGAAAAGAAACCTTCAGGTCAATACCCCTGATGAACATTGATGTGAAAATCATCAATAAAATACTGGCAAACTGAATCCGGCAGCACATCAAAAAGCTTATCTACCATGATCAAGTCAGCTTCATCCCTGGGATGCAAGGCTGGTTCATCATATGCAAATCAATAAATGTAATCCATCACATAAACAGAACCAAAGAAAAAGCCACATGAATATCTCAACAGATGCCAAAAAGGCCTTCAATAAAATTCAACACCCCTTAGTGCTAAAAATTCCCAATAAACTAGGTATTGATGGAACGTATCTCAAAATAATAGCTATTTATGAAAAACCCATAGCCAGTATCATATGGGCAAAAGCTAGAAGCATTCCCTTTGAAAACCGGCACAAGAAAAGGATGCCCTCTCTTACCACTCCTATTCAACACAGTATCGGAAGTTCCAGCCAGGGCAATCAGGCAAGAGAAAGAAATAGAGTATTCAGATAGGAAGAAAGGAAGGCAAATTGTCTCTGTTTGCAGATAACATGATTGTATATTTAGAAAACCCCATTGTCTCAGCCCAAACACTCCTTAAGCTGATAAGCAACTTCAACAAAGTCTCAGGATACAAAACTAGTGTGCAAAAATCACGAGCATTCCTATATACCAGTAATAGACAAGCAGAGAGCAAAATCATGAGTGAACTCTCACAATTGCTACAAAGAAAATAAAATACCGGCTGGGTGCGGTGGCTCACGCCTGTAATCCCAGCACTTTGGGAGGCCGAGGCGGGCGGATCACGAGGTCAGGAGATCGAGACCATCCTGGCGAACACGGTGAAACCCCGTCTCTACTAAAAATACAAAAAATTAGCCAGGCGTGGTGGCGGCGCCTGTGGTCCCAGCTTCTAGGGAGGCTGAGGCAGGAGAATGGCATTAACCCGAGAGGCAGCATAACTTGCAGTGACTGGAGATCGTGCCACTGCACTCCAGCCTGGGCGACAGATCGAGACTTCATCTCAAAAAAATAAATAAAATAAATAAAATAAAATAAAATAATTAAAATAAAATAAAATAAAAAATAAAATAAAATAAAATAAAATAAAATACCTAGGAATACAACTTACAGGAGATGTGAAGGACCTCTTCAAGGAAAACTACAAACCACTGCTCAAAGAAATAGGACACAAACAAATGGGAAAAAAAAATTCCATTCTTGTGGATAGGACGAATCAATATCATAAAAATGGCCATAAAATAATTTATAGATTCAGTCCCGTTCCCATCAAGCTGCCATTCCTGGCTCTTCAGAGAAGCAGAAAAGACTACTTTAAATTTCACATGAAACCGAAGGAGGAGCCCGTACAGCCAAGACAATCCTAGGCAAAAAACAAATTTGGAGGCATCACGCTACCTGACTTCGAACTATACTGCAAGGCTACAGTAACCAAAACAGCATGGTACTGGTATCAAAACAGAGATATAGACCAATGGAACAGAACAGAGGCCTCAGAAATAACACCACATGTCTACAACCATCTGACCTTCAACAAACCTAACAAAAACAAGCAATGGGGAAAGGATTCCCTATTTAATAAATGGTGCTGGGAAAACTGGCTAGCCATATGCAGAAAACAGAAACTAGACCCCTTCCTTACACCTTATGCAAAAATTAACTCAAGATGGGTTAAAGACTTAAACCTAAAACCTAAAACCATAAATACCCTACATGAAAACCTAGGCAGTACCATTCAGGACATAGGCATGGGCAAAGACTTCATGACTAAAACAACAAAAGCAACTGCAACAAAAGCCAAAATTGACAAATGGGATCTAATTAAACTAAAGAGCTTCTGCTCAGCAACAGAAACTATCATCAGAGTGACAGGAATGGAACAGGAGACAATTTTTGAAATCTATCCATCTGACAAAGGTCTAATATACAGAATCTACAAGAAACTTAAATTTACAAGAAAAAAACAACCTCATCCAAAAGTGGGCAAAGGACATGAACAGACACTTCTCAAAAGAAGACATGTGTTCAAGAAACATGAAAAAAAGCTCATCACTGGTCATTAGAGAAATGCAAATCAAAACCACAATGTGATATCACAGGTCATTAGAGAAATGCAAATCAAAACCATGATGAGACACCGTCTCACGCCAGTCAGAATGGCGATTTTTAAAAAATAAAGAACAGATGCTGGCAAGGCTGTGGAGAGGTAGGAACGCTTTTACACTGTTGATGGGAATGTAAATTGGTTCAACCATTGTGGAAGACAATGTCGATTCCTCAAGGATCTAGAACCAGAAATGCCATTTGACCCAGCAATACCATTATTGGTATATACCCAAAAGAATACAAATCATTCTATTATAAAGATACGTGCACGTGTGTGTTCACTGCAGCACTATTCACAATAGCAAAGACATGAAATCAACCCAAATGTCCATCCATGATACACTGGATAAAGAAAATATGGCACATATATACCATGAAATAGTTTGCAGCCATAAAAGGGAATGAGTTCATGGCCTTTGCAGGGACATGGATGAAGCTGGAAACCATCATCCTCAGCAAACTAACACAGGAACAGAAAACCAAACACTGCATGTTCTCGTAAGTGGGAGCTGAACAATGAGAACACATGGACACAGGGATGTCACACGATGGGACCTGTTGGAGGGTGGGGGGCAAGGGGAGGGAGAGCATTAGGACAAACACCTAATGCATGCAGGGCTTAAAACCTACATGGCAGGTTGACAGGTGTAGCAAACCACCATGGCACAATGTGGTAAACGTATGTAACACACCTGCATGTTCAGCACATGTATCCCAGAACTTAAAAGTAAAATTTTTAAAACACTACTCACCTCAGCCCCCTGCAGCCAACTGGACCCCCCACGCCTGGGGAAAAAGGCTGCATTTGGAGCCTGAGGTGCCTGTCACCTGCCCACCCCAGGCAAGGGTTGTTCACACTCAGGGGCTTCGGACATCCCCGGTGCGGCTGCCTCAGTCCATGGGAGCTAAAGGTCCTGGCCTTGGCCCCTCAGACATGGCACCGTAGGGTCTCATGCTTTGCAAGTTTCTAACAAATGTTGGTTTTACAGGTATTTAAAGACAGAAGAGAGACCAGAATCCATCCCCCTCACACCCGTGCAGGCCACCCTCCAGCTGCCTCCTGTGCCCAGGGCAGTGGCCATCACCTCACAGCCTGGTCTGTGGTGCCGTTGTGGACAGCTGTGGCACCTGTCCCCATGCCCACCATCGGCTGGGTTCTCATCCCAGGCCACACAGGCACTGCATGGCAGGGCAGGCTGTCCACGTGGCAGAGCCCGAGACCCGCAAGCCCCCCACGGCCAAGGGCCCCACACTCACCAGCTTCACGCAGATGACGAAGGGTGGCCGGGCGGCTCGGAAGTGCAGGATGGGGATTCGGGGCTTGGGTCTTTCCTGAGGGTGAGACTGGCCGTCAGTCCTGCCCGAGCTCGGCTCTTCCCAGGAGAGACGCCCTCAGGTGCACGCAGCCACTGAGTCGCCTCACACAGGAACCAGGGCTTGGGCAGCAGCCATTCAGGGCAGGACCCCAACCCCCACCACCCCTGCTTGACACCTGACTGCAGAACGGACCAGGGTGGGCTACGCCAAGGCCCAGACCCACGAGGGACAGCAGGTTCTCCCCCAGGGGATGGGGGCTGGGCTCCCTGGAGGCCCCGAGGAGCCGGCACAGCCCAGGTGGACTCTGCCAAGGGGAAGGCTCTGGGCAGCTGTCCCTCAGCCCTGGAGCAGGTGGGTGACCCCAAGGGTGATGCCGTGCGGCCCTGCACACCTGAGAGTCCTCGTGGCAATAGAAGCCTTTCCTGATCTTGTTCTCATCCACGTCACAGAAGGCCACCACCTGGGGACAGGCACAGAAGTCACAGAAGGCCACCACCTGGGGACAGGCACGGAAGGGCAGCTCTGGACAGGCCGAGGCTGGGGCCTGTGCTATGGGACAGCATGGGGGCGGGGCAGGCAGTGTTAGAGGGTGGCAGGGCGCCCACCTTGCGCTGGCTGGCGGCGGTCAAGCTGCGGTACAGCCGGCGCCCCTGCTTGCCGGCGTTCCAGATGGTGAAGGCTGCCCAGCGGGGAAGGGCCTGCTCTTCCAGGAAGCGGACGCGGTGGGTCCAGATGGTCGTCCTGCAGTGGAGAAGAGGGTGACAGGCAGGCCAGGGGCCCCAGAGATGCACACAGATGCCAACATTCAGGACATGGTGTGTGCTCCGCTGACGCTGCCAGTGGGGTGGACACCGGGCCCAGGGTCTGGGAGACTGGCTGTCCTATGGTCAGGCCACCTGCCCCAGCTGGATGTAGCCACATGCCTAGGTGGAGACCCGCCCCTTCCATCAGACCCCAACAGGTGGGGACAGACAAGAAGCTGTCACTTAAGAATCTAGAAGGTTCTGGAAGGCAGAATTTCTGTAGGACGCAGAGGACTGGACTTGACCCAAGTCAGTTTCCCAGAGAAACCTTTGCCCATAAGGGCACACGCGACCATCCCATAAAATCACAGCACTCAGACTTGGACATGATCTTCTGCCTCAGGTCACTGCCCCGAACCCGGTCACTCCCCTGGGATCCTGGTCTCTGTTCTGTCTGCCTCTGCTGTGATAAGCAGACCCCAGGTGCTGTCCCGGGAGCAGGCTCCTTCCTAGGACCTGAGCTCTGCCCCATCGCTGCCTGGGCCCTCCCCGTCCCACCCTCTCTCTTCCTGCCCCAGCCCCTCCCCACATGCCCCATCGCTGTCAGCACCTGCCTGTGGGCACCTCTCCCTCGAGCCTGCTCCTGGGGCTGCCCGGGCCGACCCCGTCTCAAAGGCCCAGGAGCTGGAGGAGCCAGAGGGGCTCGGCAATGCAGAGGCCAACGGGGCCAGAACGGCCTGGGATATGTCCCAGATGCCGTCCTCCCCAGCGGCTGCGAGGCAGCCACGCTGAATCCCTGTGCCCGGCAGACCCTGCCCTGGCCGAGTCCTGGGATGCCCTCTGCTCTCTGTCAAGGGAGCTGTGTCCGTGGGAGCCTCCTCTGGGACGGGGTCTGGGCCATGCCTCACTGGGTCTCGGACACAACAACGCTGGCTGGTGACAGGCCTCCCCTGAGCGGGGCCCTTGTGGGTTCAGCCTCGGGATCGGGGCAGGATTCGTCCGTTCTACGATTCTGCTGCTGCCTCCACCTCCCAGGATAAACTCTGGACTCCACAACCCTGTGGCACCCTGTTTGCAGCAGAACCCCCATAGGCAATGGGATGAGGGGACATGGGGTCCCCTCTGTCAGCTCAGGGAGCTGCAGGGCTTAGGCATGGTCAGGGATGTCCTGCCTGGAGTCCACTTTTTCCTCCCCACCCTCTGCAGCCACCTCAATAGTCCTGACCCCGCCCGGGACACAGGGGATGCGTGTCCCAGTGACTTGAGGACACTGAAGCATGTGTGTGCGCACCGTGTGGGGTGTACGGGGTGTGTGCACACCGTGTGGGGTGTACGGGGTGTGTGCACACCGTGTGGGGTGTACGGGGTGTGTGCACACTGTGCATGCGTGTGTAGTGAGTGCATGCGTGTAGTGAGTGCATGTGTGTACATGAGCACGTGTGTACAGTGTGTGCAGGTGTTCAGAGTACATGCCTGTATGTACTGTGTGGATGTGCCAACATGCATGTGTGCACGTGTGTGCAGTGAGGATCTGTGTATGCAGTGTGAGTACATGTATGCAGTGAGCACACGTCTGCGTGGCACTGTGAGGCTGTGTGTGCGTGTGGTCTGTGTGCATGTGCAGTGTGTGTGCGTGTGTGTGCAGTGTGTGTGCGTGTGTGGTGTCTGTGTGCGTGTGTATCGTCTGTGTGCGTGTGTGTGGTCTGTGTGCGTGTGCAGTGTGTGTGCGTGTGTGTGCAGTGTGTGTGCGTGTGTGGTGTCTGTGTGCGTGTGCAGTGTGTGTGCGTGTGTGTGCGTGTGTGTGGTCTGTGTGCGTGTGCAGTGTGTGTGCGTGTGTGTGCAGTGTGTGTGCGTGTGTGTGGTCTGTGTGCGTGTGCAGTGTGTGTGCGTGTGTGTGGTCTGTGTGCGTGTGCAGTGTGTGTGCGTGCGTGCCTGCGTGTGTGGGCATCAACCTGGGCGAGGACAGATCCTGCAGACGACTGCGGGGACTCGCCCACCAGGTGACGCAGCCTCGCCGGGTTTTGCCATCTTGTCCTCGGCAGCCCCGGTCTGTGGGTGTCTCTGGGGGGACGAGCCTGATCCTCATCCAGCGACATCAGCTCGGGGGCCCCATGGGGTTCACGTGAGAGGAAAGCAGTCAGGCTCCAGAAGGAAGCAGCCGGCCTCTGTGGCCGTGGGTGGCACGTGGGGTTGGGGGAGCCTCTGAGACCGGCCTCCTTGACGGCCCCTTGTCTCCCGGGCTTTCCTAGGGGTCTCTGGTCTGAAAACGTTGGCCCATCAAAGGAAGATAAAATTTAGAAGCAGCCATGATGAAACATCTGTATTTGGTTCATTTTCATTTTTCACATTTAAAAAAGTTCTTATTTAATCAGGGAGAACAGGCTCCCCAGGGCCCCCTGTGACGTTCTTTTTACATCCTCAGAGGAAGCTGTGGCCCCGCCTTAGCACTGGGAAAGGTGGAAACCCAGTTTTTCCCAAAAGCACAAGTCAGCATTTCTGGAAATGTTGCAAAGGAGCTGAAGTGTCAGGGACACGTCACAGCACAGGGACACGTCACAGCACAAGGAGGCAGCCATGGTGCCAGTGGGCATGAGAAGGAAGAGGAGTGTGGAGAGGGGAGAAGGTAGAGGAGTGTGGACGGGGGAGAAGGAAGAGGAGTGTGGACGGGGGAGAAGGAAGAGGAGTGTGGACGGGGGAGAAGGAAGAGGAGTGTGGACGCGGGAGAAGGAAGAGGAGTGTAGATGTGGGTGGCCCCAGCAGGCGGGAGTGAAGATGATGCCCTCAGTGGGGAAGCTCGTGACCCTCCTGCCAACACCCCAGCCCCACCTGTGACCTGTGACCTAAACCCCCTGGGGAGCTGGGAAGTTGCCGAGAGTCTCAGCCCTGTCACAGTAGCCTGGGACCTTCGCGGCTCCCACACCCACACAGGACCTTGGTTAGGGTCTTGAGACTCCGGGGGCCCTGAGTATCCACAGGGGCCGAGACACCAGTCCCGGACGGTGGCCTGCACTCCAACTAACGCTGCAGCACGCGGCAGGCAGGTGGCCGAGACCTGTGTGTCCTGCAGAGTTCTAAGGAAGGAATCGTCCCACCCGGATCTAAGGAAATAATTCCAGGTGCACGTCGCTTCACCCTGATTTGCCTCACCCCTGCCATGGCTCCAACATAGCCACGCGGCACCCCCCAGACCAGCCAGAGCCACGGACCTTGGAGTTAGGAGCCTGTGAGCTGTAGAGGCCCACGTGGCCGCTCCTGACAGTGACACGGGAGAGGCACCCAGGCCCACGTGGCCGCTCCTGACAGTGACACGGGAGAGGGACCTGGGCCCACGTGGCCGCGCCTGACAGTGACACGGGAGAGGGACCCAGGCCCACGTGGCCACACCTGACAGTGATGTGGGAGAGGGAGCCGGGCCCTGCAGCACTGAGCTCGTCCTCACTGGGCACCATGATTTCCTGGCCAAGCCTCCGCCACCCTCCATGGCAGCCGTGGCACCCAGGCCTGTGGACCCAGCTGGACCCCACTCATGAGACTTCCGTCGGGTTGAAGGGAGCACAGGGTTTCAAATGACCCAGTGCGTGGTTGTTTTACCTCTAGGAACTAGGGGAGGACGTTTTGCCTTCACCCTTGGCACCCTTGGGAAACGCTCCTTTGCAGACCCCGAGCCCCCGACCCTTGGGATGTGCGCTTCCCCGTGTCCCACCAGACCCTGGGTCTCAAGGCAGAGCCTGATCACAGCCTCTGGGGTCGGCCCCACCAACCCCGGCCCCGACCTTGGGCGCCTCCCCTGTTCCTGGCCTCCGGGGCGTCCCGGGCTGGGCGGGGCCGACTTACTCAAGGACGGAGTGCGTGGCCGCCCGCGGGTGGTATCGGTACAGCAGGAGGCTCTGGTCCACGCGGATGACGCCACCGCCCTTCCTGAGGTGCTCGTAGAAGAACAACAGGTCCTCCGGGACGCCCTGTAGGGCGGGAGCAGAGGCATCACCGGGGCCGGAAACGCGTGCCTGCCCCAGATGCACCTGTGCTCAGCTGGCCAACCAGGAACTGGTGGAAAGGCTTTTGTTGCAAAGAAGCCAGTTTAGAGGCTCAACAGGGACATGAGGTGGCGACCCCAACAGAGGTGAGCAACTGAGCTTCTCAACAGGCGGGAAAGAGGGGAAGGGAGGGTGTGCTGGTTCTCGATTCTGCCCCAAATTCCATTTTGGGGAGCAAAGGTCTCAGGGCAAAGCGGACGACAGGCAGCTGAGGAAAGGGGCTGGGCGGGTCCGGGTCTTGCAGCTGCGGCTCCTGGACGGCTTGTCCGGTCTCCATCCCCATCCTTCCCTGCCGGTGGCTGCGGCCCCAGAAGCTCAAGGGACTCAAAGTGCCGACTGTGGGCAGAGCACGGTGGTGCTGGGTGGGTGCGAGGGGCTGCGCGCAGCGGAGCCCAGCAGAGGGGAGGCAGCCCCGGGCCTGTGCCAGCCCCGCTCACTTGTCCACACTCAGAAACTTGAACCTCAGCCCGTGGGGCTGATCCACGAACACCTCCATGTCAGTGGGGACTCTGCTCTGGAACATTCTGCAGGCATTCCCACCAGACTTTTCTGTCCTGTGAGAACCTGGGCCCTCCTTCCCCCGGCCCATCATCCCAATGGCCCCTGCCCTCTGCTTGCTCCTCTCCTGGGCAGACCCGTCCTCAGCCCAGGGCTGTGGCCAAGCCGTGGGTCCCTCTGGGGCCGGCTCTGGGCCTTGTGCAGAGCTGGGTCCCTGTTGTTTCCTTAAATTCAAACATAAAACTGGGGGAGGAGCAGGGCGTGGAGTCTGGTCTCCTCATGGTTCTCTGCTGCAGCTCACCTGGGTCAGCTGCCCACAGACACCTTTGCTCCAGGAAAGGGTGGGTTTTCTGACAGCCTAGCAGCAGGGCCAGTCTGTTACTAAGTCCAGCCTCTTCTCTCCTTGGCTGGCACTCAAACTTCAAGTGCAGGTCAGTAAAGGTCCCAAAATATCACGGCCCGACCGCTGGCCTGTTTGCTCCCAGGACAGACAGTGCTGTGGTTCTGTTTGCTCCCAGGACAGACAGGCAGTGCTGTGCTTCCGTGTCCAACAAAAATGCACTATTTAACCTCCGCCTCCGCAGGGCAATACCTTTTAATGAAAACCACGGTGACATGGAAAGATTTGTAAGAAGATGCTGAGTCAAAGAACAGACCTCAAAATCATGTGTACAGCTCTGCTAAAAGTTTATCCACCATAAGATAAAGACAAAGGAATCACAGAAGCCCACGTGCTACCTCACACGGGTGATTCAGGGTGAGGCTCCCACGGGTGCCGGTGGACACGGACCCTCACACGGGTGATTCAGGGTGAGGAGTGCGAGCTCCGTGGAATTGCTGGTGGACATGGACCCTCCCACCGCGGTCAGGAGTGAACTCCCGCGCGCGGAGTGCCGGTGGACCACCTGGACCCTCCCTGCGGGTGATTCAGGGAATTGCCAGAGAGCTCCAGTGCCTGTGGACACGGACCCTCACACCCAGGCCGATTCAGGGGGTGCCCAGGCTCTCCAGCAGTGCCGGTGGACACCGGACCCTCACGGGTGATTCAGGGTGAGAGCTCCACGTAGTGCCTGGGCCTTGGACCTCCACAGGTGATTCAGGTGAGGCTCCGTGGAGTGCCGGTGAGACCTGAGACCCTCACCACGGGTGTGATTCAGAGGGTGAAGCTCACAGCAGTGCTGAGTTTGGAGCCACACAGGTATTCAAGTGGAGGTTCCCATGGGTGCCGGTGGACACGGACCCTCCACCCGGGTGATTCAGGTGAGGCTCCCGCAGGTGCTGGTGGACACAGAGCCTCCCTTAGGGTGATTTAAGTGAGGAGCTCCGGTGTCGGTGGACCACAACTCTTACAGGTGATTTAGGGTGGGGCTCCCACCGAGGTGCTGGTGGACACACGGATGCACTCCCGGTGAATCAGGGTGGGGCTCCCGCCTGGTGGGCACAGACCCTCACAGGGAGTCACTGAAGTATTTTCTCTAATTTTCTGTGTTTTCAAAGGCAGCTTAAAGAGCATGGAACTCTGAACACGTTATAACATAGGTTTAGGAAGACAAAAACGCCGCAGGTGCTGGTGGACACAGAGCCTCACATGGGTGATTTAGGGTGGGGGCTCCCACAGGTGTCGGTGGACACGGACTCTTACACAGGTGATTTAGGGTGGGGGCTCCCACGGGTGCTGGTGGACACGGATCCTCACACGGGTGAATCAGGGTGGGGCTCCCGCAGGTGCTGGTGGACACAGACCCTCACAGGGGTCACTGAAGTATTTTCTCTAATTTTCTGTGTTTTCAAAGGCAGCTCTAAAGAGCATCGGAACTCTGAACACGTTATAGGTTTAGGAAGACAAAAACGGCTTCTCTCTTCCTATCACCAGGAAGAACCTGACCCTTGGGGTTTTCTTATTTTCTGGCAGTAAAGTCAGAATTTAGTCAACAGCAACTCCTGGGTGGTGCTTCTGCCCCGGGAGGAGGGGGACTCAGAGGGTCTGTCTCACTTTTCTCTCCCCTCCCCCGATTCCTGCTGCTGAGACCTGAGGACCCAAAATGGCCTTACTCCTCCCCCAGGCTTTTCCCAATCAGCCTCCAGGTGCCTGGACTGCCCTGTGGTGTGCAGGGAGAGGGGATGCGTCACTACCCAGAAAGGCATCAGGGAAGATGCCGAGAGCGGAGGAAGTGTGGCTGCCCAGCCCCAATCTGCTCACGGAACCATCCCGGGCAGCCTTTGGGGATGGAGCACCCAGAACTGCCTGGAGGAGGAGAGCGCGAGCTGAAGCCACTCCCAGGAAGGCCAGGCCAGAGGCTCTGGAGGCTCCAATCCTGAGAGGCAAAAGGAAGCCCAATCAGGGACACGCTTCCTTCCCCAGGGCCCGTCCCCAGCGCCGCGCGCCCTTCTCCAGAGCCCCGTCCCCAGCGCCGCGCGCCCTTCTCCAGAGCCCGTCCCCAGCGCGAGCCTCCAGGAGGAAGCAGCAGTCACCACGTGGGGACAGACGGGGAGAGCTCCAGCCCGGGCCCAGCAATCAGAGCCTGTGGGACACAGGGACGCTAAGTCCTCTGCACCAAACCAGCAGAGAAAACTAAAAACGGGAAACACTTCCATGGATAAAAATTCAGCCTGTCCCCCACAGCAACAACAAACGTCCAAACCAGGAAACAGAGACTCCTGTGAACACCCCGCCAAGATAAATTCCACACCCTCCACCAGTGTTTCAGGCTATGGGTGGGGTGTGCGGGGAGGTGGCGGAGACCCATCTTAAATCAGAAACTCAAGGACTAAGTGCAGAACTGGACCCTAATGGGGTGCGTCTAAATAGAGCATTGAGGAAAGTGCGTTAGTGCTTGGCCGGGGCTGGCAGGGGGCGGATGAGGTGCGCCTCTGGGTACAGGAAGTGCTTTTTGGGGGATGACCATGTTCTAACATCAGGTGGTAGTGGTGATTGGTGATTGTACGGCCCTAGAAATTTGCTAAAAAACACTGAATTGCACATTTTAATAGGTGAATTGTATGGCATGTGAATTATACCTCAATGAAGCTTTTATATAAAATTGGGTCGATTAAACTAAAAAAAGAAATTTTATGGAGAGAGAAAATTGGCTGGGCGCGGTGGCTCGCGCCTGTAATCTCAGCACTTTGGGAAGCCGAGGTGGGCGGATCACGAGGTCAGGAGATCGAGACCATCCTGGCTAACACACAGTGAAACCCCATCTCTTCTTAAAAAAAAAAAGAGAGACACAAAATTGGTTGGGTGTGGTGGCGGCTCATGCCTTTAATCTCAGCATTTTGGAAGGCTGAGGTGGGGGGTGGATTGCTTGAGCCCAGCAGTTCGAGACCAGCTTCGGCAACATGTCAAAACCAGTCTCTACCAAAAATGAAAAAAGTAGCTGGGTGTGGTGGTGCGCACCTGTAGTCCCAGCTACTTGGGAGGCTGAGATACAAGGATTGCTTGAACCTGGGAGGCAGAGGTTGTAGTGAGCTGAGATTGAGCCACTGCGCTCCAGCCTCAGCAACAGAGTGAGACCCTGTCTCCAAAAAAAAAAAAGGAACAAAATATATGAAAAATGAAGGCTAAATTACAAGATCCTTAAGAGAAAATAGATTTTAATTAAAAATGTAATAAGGGACATTGAAGAAAGGAAAATAGAAATTATATAATGAAGTGAAAAGGTAAGTTAGAAAGACTAAGAAAATCTTATCTGTGTAGAACTGGAGTCTTTAAAACAAAACAAAACAAAACAAAACAAAACCCACAATGGACATAGCTAGTATTTAAAACCGCAATCCAAGAAAAATTTCCAGAAATGAAAGCAGATCTGTTTCTATACACTGAAAAGCACCATCAGGTCAACCTGAAGGCAGATCCTGGTGAAACCATTAGACTTCAGCAATAAAAAATAATTCTCAGAGTCTCCAGGCAAAAAGGTCACAAAACTTACAAAGGTAAGATTCACTGTGCACCGGACTTCTCAAAACAGTCACACGAAGCGGCGACGGACAGCGCAGGGACCAAGAACTTCCCACACAGCCAGAGGCTTCCTCCAGCCTCAGGCTCCAGGAACGCAGTTCTGACGAGCGCAGCCTCACAGAAAGCTGTGGCTCCAGCCACACGGGGACCAGACACCCGGCCAGAGCCGCGGCGGTGGACGCCGGATGTGACAGCAGGTGGGAGACTACACAGATCGGGACAAGGGTGCAAGACTAGTATATGGATGTTCGTCCTCGGACCTAAGTAGAAACCGCGTAACAAAAGGGCCAGGGCGGTGGCTCACCCCTGTCATCCCAGCACTTTGGGAGGCTGAGGCGGGTGGATCACAAGGTCAGGAGTTCAAGACCAGCCTGGCCAAGATGGTGAAACCCTGTCTTTACCGAAAATACAACAATTAGCCAGGCGTGGTGGCGGGCGCCTGTAATCCCAGCTACTCGGGAAGCTGAGGCAGGAGAATGGCGTGAACCCGGGAGGCGGAGCTTGCAGTGAGCTGAGATCCGGCCACTGCACTCCAGCCTGGGTGACAGAGCGAGACTCCGTCAAAAAAAAAAAAAAAAGAAAAAAAGGAGGACAGGAGGACAGGAGGAGGGGGAAAAGGAAAAAAAAAATAGGAAACCAACAATCTTATTGACTGTTGTGTGGGCAATATATGGGGGATTCAAGGTGTTTAGAAAAGGGTTAAGTACACAGATAACCACTAGACCAAAATGCAAACCTTCAATCTGCAGAGAAATTTAAAAAGTCAAAAGCAGGTGATGGCTCCAGGCTGTCCGTGGCTGAGCAGCCAGCACCTTCAGAGGAGACTGTGTGCGGCCAGAGCCTGGGGAGGTGGTGCTGCAGGGGCAAGGAGGGCAAGGAGGGCATGGAAACCCAAAGTCCCGGCCTGGAGGGGCTGAGGCAGAATCCGGGACAAGCAGAGCACCTGGGGGCAGCGGTGGTCCCAGAGAGACCAAAACGGGAGGGAATATTCACAAAGTAAACGTCCAGCAGGAGCACCCGCAATCCAACAACGAGAAGACAACAGGCCGATGAGTTGGACACACCACAAAATAACACAGAAGCTGCCCGTCACCACGTGAGATGTCCTTCAACATCGTTAGCCATCTCGAAGTGCAGAATGAAAGCACAGTAGGAAACCACGAACTCCAACTAGGACAGGCAAAGTTAAAAAGTTGACAACACCAGCCGGGCGCAATGGCTCACACCTGTAATCCCAGCACTTTGGGAGGCCGAGGCGGGTGGATCACCTGAGGTCAGGAGATGGAGACCAGCCTGGCCAACATGGTGAAACCCCGTCTCCACTAAAAGTACAAAAAGTCAGGCGTGGTGGTGCATGCCTGTAATCCCAGCTACTGGGGAGGCTGAGGCAGGAGAATCGCTTGAACCCGGGAGGCGGAGGTTGTGGTGAGCCAGGATTGTGTCATTGCACTCCAGCCTGGGAGACAAGAGAGAAACTCCGTCTCAAAAAAAAAAAAAAAAAAAAAATTGACACCACCAAGGTCTGGCGAGGGGCTGGTGAGGAGTTTGAGGGACGGGAAACTTCTCATGCAGACGGCGGCGACGGGGGACCAACGGCGGCGCCCGGGGGACCTGTCTCACAAAACCGAACACGCGCCTGGCCTCGCTTGCGTCTAACCCTAGGAACGTGCCCCACAGACAGGAAAACGTCTGAAGTGTGGCTGTTGTGCCGGTGGTGGTTCGAGTCCTTCCTGTGGCAGTGATAAGCTTCCTTCAGGCCAGACCTGCCCTCAGAAACCTGTTTTTACTTTGTCTCGTTTTGTTAGAAATGGGGTTTCCTGGTGCTGCCCAGGTTGGTCTTGAACTCCTGGCCTCAACCGATCCTCCTGCCTTTGCCTCTTGTGCTCGTGGGACTACAGGCATGAGCCCCTATGTCCGGCTATAAACCTGTTTCAAACCAAGAAAACATCAGGTTTTTTCTTCTTATTTAAGGGCCTATGATGGTTGCCCACAGAGGACTCCCTACCAAAGGTGGGTGTCTTCAGGCGCTGCCACGCCCACCTCCAAATCTCAGGCTCACCTGCCCTCCCATCCTTCCTCCGTGAACACAGAAGTGGACGCACTTTCCAGTCAGGAATCTCCCTGTCTTGCATGTTTCAGCTCCTGGCGACCGTTTCTGCAGCCCCCGTGGCCCTGGCTTGGCCTCCCAGTCTGGCTGCCTCAGGGTCCGCACCACCCACGTCCACCTGGTTGGTCCCCTGCTGTTCTGGACGCCTGCCCTTCAGCTCCTCCACCCCGGGGCCCACAGAGAGAGAGCTGAGGATCAGCCCCACACCGAGCGTCTGGCTCAGGGCGCCCTGTGACTTCTGCTTGACTCATTTCTCTGGAGAGGACTTGGCAGAAGCCAAGGAAACACTGTCTATCCCCGTCTTGGTGGCCGACACTGCTGTTGTCCCTGTCACCCGAGGCCTCCTCAGGCCCCAAAGCCCTCACTTGCTCCAGCCATGGCCCCATTACAGCTCTAATCCCTGAGCCCCAGGCCCTGGCCCCTGGCCCTGATCCCTGGTCCCCGGCTCTGATCCCTGGTCCCCGGCCCTGATCCCTGGTCCCCAGTCCTGATCCCTGGTCCCTGGCCCTGATCCCTGGTCCCCGGCCCTGATCCCTGGTCTCTGGCCCTGATCCCTGGTCCCCGGCCCTGATCCCTGGTCCTGATCCCTGGTCCCTGGCTCTGATCCCTGGTCCCTGGTCCTGATCCCTGGTCCCTGGCCCTGATCCCTGACCCCTGGCTCTGATCCCTGGTCCCTTGCCCTGATCCCTGGTCCCTGGCTCTGATCCCTGGTCCCTGGTCCCTGGTCCTGATCCTTGGTCCCTGGCCCTGATCCCTGACCCCTGGCTCTGATCCCTGGTCCCCGGCCCTGATCGCTGATCCCTGGTCCTGGTCCCTGGCCCCTGGCCCTGCTCTCTGGTCTCAGAACAAGGCAGGGATGGGCTTTTCCTTTCCTCCAGGAGCTCCCCATCCAGGCTGCGGTCTCATGCACTTCTGAATCCTGAGGCTGCTCGGCCACGCTTTAAGGATGATAAGATCCTGAAATCAGGCCGGATGTGGTAGCTCCTGCCTGTGATCCCAGTGCTTTAGGAGGCTGAGGCGAGCGGATCACTTGAGGCCAGGAGTTTAAGACAAGCCTGGCCAACATGGTGAAACCCTGTCTCTACTAAAAATACAAAAATTAGCCGGGGGTGGTGGTGGGTGCCTGTAATCCCAGCCACTTGGGAGGCTGAGGCAGGAGAATCGCTTGAACCCAGGAGGCAGAGGCTGCAGGAAGCTAACACCACTGCACTCCAGCCTGGGAGACAGAGAGAGACTCCGTCTCAAAAAAAAAAAAAAAATCCTTAAATCAGTGTTTCCCATGGAACATCTTCTGTTAACCATTTCCCACATGGCTTCCTGCAGGCCCCAGCGACGGCCACACTTCCTGGCAGCACCTGCTTGGAGCTATACCCACCACCACCGGTGTCCCGGAGATTAATTATGGGGGAGCTGCAGGCTGAGAGCCTGCCCCACCCTGGGAAAACACGGCTCTGCCCCATCTGCACCCCAGAGACCTGGACCATGAGGGATACCCAGGCCAGGGTCCGAGGTAGCCGGGCAGTGGGGACCCTGGTGTGGCCAGGCCCACGTGAGGCTCCATGTGGCCCCTGTGAGCTGCTGAACGCCTGACCCTGTTGTCCCGATGAGGAAGCTGAGGCTCAGAGCAGGACAGACGAACTTGGTCCCTGTCACAAGAGTAGGAGGTGGAGGCTAAATCTTAGTCACTGGCCTGGGGTCTCTGCACCCCCCAGGAACCCTGTGCCAGGACCCTCCACTGGTCTCTGTGTCCAGTATCCCTGCAACTAGAGACCAGCATGGGCAAATGTGGCCAGCTCTCTGCTGGTGACACCCCAGCCCTGGGCTCCTCAGTCCCCACAGGGAGGCAGAGGCTAGAGCGGCCTGGTCTGGACATGGATGCTTTCAGGCGCACCCTGACAGTGAGGACGGGCAACATGGATGCCTGCAGGTGCACCCCCACGGGGAGGATGGGGACATGGACTCCTGCAGGTGTACCCTGGAGGGGAGGACAGGGACACGGACGCCTGCAGGTGCACCCCCTCGGGGAGGACAGGGACACGGACGCCTGCAGGTGCACCCCGGAGGGGAGGACGGGGACACGGACGCCTGCAGGTGCACCCCGGAGGGGAGGACGGGGTGTCCCGGAGATTAATTATGGGGAGCTGCAGGCTGAGAGCCTGCTCCCACCCTGGGAAAACACGGCTCTGCCCCATCTGCACCCCAGAGATCTGACCATGAGGGATACCCAGGCCAGGGTCCGAGGTAGCCGGGCAGTGGGGACCCTGGTGTGGCCAGGCCCACGTGAGGCTCCATGTGGCCCCTGTGAGCTGCTGAACGCCTGACCCTGTTGTCCCGATGAGGAAGCTGAGGCTCAGAGCAGGACAGACACCTATCCTGTCACAAGAGTAGGAGGTGGAGGCTAAATCTTAGGTCACTGGCCTGGGGTCTCTGCACCCCCAGGAACCCTGTGCCAGGACCCTCCACTGGTCTCTGTGTCCAGCATCTCCTGCAAACTGTGAGAACCAGCATGGGCAAATGTGCCAGCTCTCTGCTGCACACTCCAGCCCTGGGCTCCCTCAGTGTCCCCACAGGAGGCAGGCAGAGGCTAGAGCGCCTGGTCTGGACATGGATGCTTTCAGGCGCACCCTGACAGTGAGGACGGGCAACATGGATGCCTGCAGGCACTCCCACGGGGAGGATGGGACATGACTCCTGCAGGTGTACCCTGGAGGGGAGGACAGGGACACGGACGCCTGCAGGTGCACCCGGGAGACAGGGACAATGACGCCTGCAGGTGCACTGCGTGGAGGGGAGGACGGGGACACGGACGCCTGCAGGTGCACTCTCGGAGGGGGAGGGATCGAGACACGGATTTTCTGGCAGGCACACTCGGAGGAGGACGGGGACACGGACGCCTGCAGGTGCAATTTCCCCACGAGTGATGGGGACACAGATGCCTGCAGGTGCATCCCGGAGGGGAGGACGGGGACACGGACGCCTGCAGGTACACCCTGGTGAGGAGAATGGGCTCCTCTTCTTCCTCTTAATGTCCTGGGCAGGCAGCTCTGTAAACAGCTTCTGTGTCCTGTGCTTTCCCACACACAGCTTTTAAACCAGGATGGTCACTCGGAGCCACTCGTAGGTCAGGTGCAGATGCTCGGGCGTCCACAGCCTTCACACAGAAACCCGCTGCTTTCAGCAAAACAACTGAGATGTTGGCAGGTGCCAGGAGGGGAACCAGGAGGGGCACCGGGAGGACCCCCGGGGCAGGGGTTTCCTGAATCTCCAGAGCCCTGGAGGCATGGCGGAGCGGAGGGTGGCCAGTGTGCGGAGCCCACACACAGAGGACAGGGCCCCAAGCCCGGGGGAGGGACCCGATTCCCGCCTCTCGGCCCTTACCTGACCTCCCTCGTCAAAGGGGCCCACGTGGGAAAACCACGCCCGCGAACAGAACCAGGTGGGCATGATCACCGTTGGACCATTTGCGGTGAAAACCTAGGAGCAATTAACGTTGACAGAGTTAGCAGAAAAGAACAGCTTGTCACAAACAACCTACAGTTTATTTCCACAAAGTGTCACGAGACAGTGACAGACGAATCCGTGTCCCTTCTCCATAGGGACAGGGGCTCAAGGGGACGTGTCTGGGCCCCATGGCTGAGAGATGAGGGGAGGAGGCAAGGGGAGACCAGCGGCCAAACTCAGTCCCACCTGCAGGCCTCACTCCCGAGCTCACTGGCTGTGCCTCACCAAAAGGACTTCTCTCTGTTTCTGATAGACGGAAAAGTTTTCTGTGAAAATCCAAAGTAAACATGCTCCTTTTAATCAGGAGAAAAACACGAAATAGCATAAAAGGATATGGAGAATAATGAGATAACTTTGATGAAACACACGAGTCCTAGAAAGATGTAAACCATGAAAACTGACTCAAAAAGAAATAGAAAATATGAATCACTAATAAGTAAGCGGCAAGAGAAGACCCCACAAAGAAAAGCCCAGCGCCAGACGGCTTCCCTGAACTCTACCAAATGTGCAAAGAATTAATACCAATCCTTCAAACTCTTCCAAAAGTAGAGGAGGAGGGAACGCTTCCCAGACGATTCTATGAGGCCATCACTACCCTGATACTAAAGCCAGACACAAATCCTACAGGGAAACAACAGGCCGACACCCCTTGTAAATACAGAGGCAAACGAAAAAACCCCAGCAAACGGACTCCATCCTAGAAAAAGGACCCACCACGGCTGAGTGGACTCACCTCACGACTGTAAACGTGGGTCAACATACGAAAATCAGCGGAATCCACCAACCACATTAATGGAATGAAGGTCCAAACCCACCTGATCATCTCAATGAACTCAGAAAAACCACCGTTCCATGATCACACTATCCAACTCTGGGATAGAAGGGAGCTTCCTTCACCCGATGAAGGGCACTTACGAAATCCCCACAGCCAAGGTCACACTTCAGTGGTAAATACCGAAAGCTTCCCCTAAGGTCAGGGACAAGAATATCTCACCACTTCTACTCCACACCGTGCTGGGGGTTCTCGCCAGAGCGGCTTGGCAAGAAAGCAAAACAAACGATATCCAGCTTGGAAAGGAAGCAGTCAAACCGTGCCTGTGTGCAGACGGCATATGCTCCTGTGAGTGGGAAACCCTGAGACACAAATCCTACAGGGAAACAACAGGCCGACACCCTGTAAATACAGAGGCAAACGAAAACTCCCAGCAAACGGACTCCATCCTAGAAAGGACCCACCACGGCTGAGTGGACTCACTCACGATCAAACGCAATAAATATACGAAATCAGCGAATCCACCAACCACATTAATGGAATGAAGGTCCAAACCCACCTGATCATCTCAATGAACTCAGAAAAACCAGACTGCTCCATGATCACACTATCCAACTCTGGGATAGAAGGGAGCTTCCTTCACTCCGAAGGAAGGGCACTTACGAAATCCTACACAGCCAAGGTCACACTTCAGTGGTAACACCGAAGCTTCCCTCAAGGTCAGACAAGAATATCTCACTTCTACTCCACACCGTGCTGGGGCCCGCCAGAGCGGCTTGGCAAGAAAGCAAAACAAACGATATCCAGCTTGGAAAGGAAGTGTTTCAAACCGTGCCTGTGTGATTTGCATATGCTCCCGTGAGTGGGAAACCCTGGGTACAGATAATAAGGCCACTTACACACACACAGACACGCACACAGACACACACACACATGCAGTCACACACATGCACTCACACACTTGCCCATACGCATTCTCACACCTGCATTGACACACGTGCAGTCAGATGCACACACACATACACTCAGACATTGCACACACATGTACTCATACACACACTTGCCCACACATTCTCACACATGCGCGCACACACACTAAGCTACACAGATGCATGTACACACATGCACTCACATCTCACATGCATCTCACACACACATTCTCACACATGCACTCACACACATCTCACATGCATCTCACACACACATTCTCACACATGCACACACATACATGCAGTCACGAATGTACTTACATGCACTCATACACTTGTGGACACACAGACACGCATACACACACACTCAGACACACTCGCATACACACATGCACAGGCTTTGTTTCATTTCAGATCATTTGTATTTCTGTATCTTCAAGTTCACTACATTTTTCTTCTGTAATGTCTAATTTACTGTTAATTCCATTCTGTGTATTTCTTATCACAGACATGGTAGATTTCATCTCTATTAGTTTCATTTAAGTCTTTTTCATATCTCCATTTATCTACATAAAATGTTCAATTTTTCCTCAATCTTTCTGAACATATAGAATACAGTAAGTGTTTTAATATACGTGTCTGCCAAACACTTGTTAGGATTAACACAAACTTAAAATTTTTTTCATTATAGGTTGCATTTTCCATCTTCTTTGCGTGTCTGACTTATTCATTTTTATTGCAAGGCAGACATTGTGAGTTTTATATCTTGTTGGTGCTGGGTATTTTTTTGTGTCATATAAACATTCTTGAACTTTGTCTGGGGACACAGTCACTTGGAAACAGTCTGTTCCTTTTGGTTCTTCCTCCCAGCATCTGCCAGGTCAGGCTGGAGCATCACTTAGTCCAGGGCCGACTCCTCCCACCAGCCCCCTGCATTCGCACCAGTGCCTGCGGACTGTGAGGGTCCCAGTGCAGTGGAGCTCTGGGCACTGTCCCTCTTATCTTTTCAGATGCTTCTTTTCCTGGCCTCAGGAAGTTTCTTCACACACTGGTGAGTACTGGGTTTTAGGAGGTGGTGCCTCTGTTTCCCCCTCCGGGATCTTTCTGCCTCTGTCGGGGTGGGAGGCTGTCAGCTACATGATCCTTCATTACCCTATAACGTGATTTAGAGACGAGACACTGTGCAATGCCTTGGGCTTCTTTTTAATTACTTGAAAGGGGAAAAACATAGATTTGAAAAGTGACAAAAAGAGAACAGAGAAAAAAATTATGGAATAAAAGTTTAAAAACCTTCATAATGAAAGGAGAAACCACTAAGGCAGGAATACAAATTAAAATCAAGACTCCTTGTTCCTCTTGTTTCTATTTTTTAATTTTTGTGGGTACACGGTAGGTGTAATCGGTAAGAGTCACTGATTCTTAAACTCACTTCTCCTCAAAGAAAGGAAATCTTCCCAAACTTTTTTTGGAACTGTGTTGGAATCCTCCGCAAAGGGGCGGGAGTGAAGTTAAACTGTCATGAATTCTACAGGAAAAAAAAGGCCAAGAGTTTTCCATTTAATGTCACACATATCCGGTGACTTCCTGTCTGGACAGAGCTACGAAGCAGAAGGCACCAAAACACGCCAGTGGCCACGATGGTCAGCTCACCCCACCCCAGTGAACCTCGGGCCCGACGTGGCCCAAGCCTGTGGAAAAGCCAAGCTCTGCACGTGCTGTGCCGAGTGCTGCCTCGTCCCTGCCCGCGAGCCGTGGGCTCGGTGCTCCTGCTGGCTTTCCACAGCCACACTCTGCTTACCGAGCGGGTCCTCATCCTTACTGCTTATCGCGGGTCCTCACCCTTACTGTGCGTCTGATCCCTGTGAGTCCTGCGGCTCCATCGAGGTGCCTGACCCGCGCTCAGTGATGCTTTGGACCACTACCCAGGATGTGGTGAGATCCTTAGCAACCGTGTTAAGAGTTCTGGGGGGAAAGATCACCACAAAATGCAGAGCGCAGAACTAAACAGAAGAGCTAAAATTATAAAATTCTAGAAGAAAACATACGGGGAAAACGTCCTGACATTGGATTTGGCAATAATTTCTTAGATGTCACAAAAGCACAGGTAACAACAACAACAACAAAAACGACGACAACTGGATAAACCAGAGTATGCCAAAATTTAAAACTTCTGTGCATCAAAGGACACATTAAAAAGACTGAAAAAGTAGTCCACGGAATGGGAGAAGATATTCGCAAACCATATATCTGATAGAGATTAATATCTAGAATATATAAAGAACTCCTATAGTTCAACAACAAAAAACAGCCCAATTATAAACATGGGCAAAAGACTTGAACAGACATTTCTCCAAATAAGATATACAAATGGGCAATAAGTACACACAGTGATGCTGAACGTCACTAATGACTAGGGAACCGTAAATCGAAACCACAGTGAGATACCACTTACGTCCATTCGGAGGCTACTATCAAAAAACCAGAAAGCAACACCTGTGGGTGAGGACGTGGAGAAACGGGAACCCTCGCATGTTGCTGATGGGGAATGCAATACGGCATAGCCGCGATGGGAAAACAGTGTGGTGGCTCCTCAAACAATTGCACATAGAATTACCATAGGATCCGGCAATACTGCTTCTGGGTGTGTGACCCCAAAAAGTGAAAGCAGGGTCTCCAAGAGCTCTTCATACACCCACATTCCCGGCAGCATCATTCACAGTAGCCAAGGGGAGGAAGCAGCCCCAGCATCCGCTGACAAATGAATAAACCAAGTGTGGTCTCTTCAGCCTCCAAACAGAAGGAAGATCTGACACTTGCTAGGACAGGGATGAACCCCGCGGACACTTGCCAAGCGACATACGGACCCCGAGGACACCATGCTGACATATGGACCCCGAGGACGCTGTGCTGACATACGGACCCCGAGGACACCGTGCCGAGCGACATACGGACCCCAAGGACGCCGTGCTGACATACGGACCCCGAGCACACCGTGCTGACATACGGACCCTGAGGACGCCATGCTGACATATGGACCCCGAGGACGCCGTGCTGACATACGGACCCTGAGGACACCGTGTGACTTGAGGACGCCATGCTGACATATGGACTTTGAGGACGCCGTGCTGACATACGGACTCCTGAGGACACCGTGCCGAGCGACATACGGGATCTCGAGGACGCCGTGCTGACAGAAACATGCCGACTCCTGAGGACACTGCAGCCGAGCGACATACGACTTTCGAGGATGCCGTGCTGACATACGGACTGAG